ACTGCCAATTTCATTGCACAGACAATCGTATCCGAACATAACCGGAATTGTGACATGCCTCGAGGTAATCATGGAAGGAATACGCAGGAAATTGTAAACAAAGAGATGATGAATGTCCTTGTTGAAAGTGTGTTGCAACTCGAAATTAGGTCAGAAACGGACATAAATATACAGATACTAGTATCTATAAGTTACAGTATTAATAATACGGTAGTACAGTACAGAGAACCGAGTAGGAACTCGCGCACAGTGGTATTATGAAATATATGGGGAATTGTATGCGAATGCGCAAGTTGTGATTCCGAGTACGAATTATAATTTTGCAATCAGATCAATCTGATTAATTTTATTATATCCAATCATACAATTTACAAACTTTTTATGAGCATACTATTGGTTAAAATATAAAATATGAAAAAATACTATTGGTTGACGTCGGAATTTATGAATGCTCCATGGAAAAAAAATAGTGTCGATACCACTGCGCGAGTTCCTACTCCTTTCTCTGTACTCGAGTACTACGTATGACTGGTATTGATTGATACAGTAGCTACAACTCCGTATGTACTACTACGTAGTACTTACTAGTACTGTAAGTTACTAATAATACCATAATAACGTTAGTACTACCGGAATAATAATAGTTCGTATTATGATGACAGCTCTGAGTACTAGTATGTACTAGTACATCGCAACTGCTGTATATTCGATATGGACTTTCAAGTTATGCTCAGTTTGGTCAGGACGGTTTACACGAGGCAAGGGCGAGGGAGATGGATCGCATCTTGGGCCTCGAGACACCCAAGATCTCTTGTTCATTGTGTCGGGCATGTGAAACCAAGACAGAGACGTGATTGAACTGCCACAGTCAATACCACGTCGAATATATGGCATACAAACCCATTGTACAAAGCCCTACCCAACGACAACGACGACAGGCGATATCAACGATCACCACCAGATACACCATCCCCGCAATATAGCAATGCATGTACTCTACATAACGTTACCATGCATCGTTTAAAGCTCTTGATGCATTGGCGCGGCTGTATTAATGTACCCCTCAGCATGTCTTGTTTTGCAAAGCCACTGCTGTAACTAACTTTCCGACGATTATCAAAACACACTGGAAAGACACATTGTGACTGCCGTTGTGCAAACAATCGAAAGATCAAGTTGGCTTTTCTGTTCTACAACATTACATCGGATTAGTGAACAATCGGCTGTAAATCATCACCTAATCAGCTTCAAAGACATCCGACGGCGGTGATTTCTCAGTCGATGCATGATGAATGGAATATGTACTACGTACTACTAGTATATACTGTACTATTAATAGTATAGTACTATTAATAACTCATGGATCAGTGCCTACTAAAAAAAGGCCAACTTGATCGGGTAATAGTGTAATATGATTTTGCCATATCCAGCTGTACAGTACTGTACTGTACCCCAATTGCTGTATGGTGTCAAAAGAACGATTTGGTAAGGCTGTACGCAAGTCGCGTTATATTGGTCAGAATTCTCCAATGATTTCGTTCTAGCCAATCAAACATGTCGAAGTAGTGCCAATACGAACCCATTCGGATTTTACTGGCATTTTCGGGCAGCTATTGTAATATGTACAGTATACTGTAGTACTGTACCGTACTGTGCTTTTCACCCAAATTTGCAAATTTTGGGGGGTTGTTGTCAACAAATCGAAGAAAAGAGTATGATTGGCTAAAAATGAAGGGTGCAATATGATTGGCCAAAGAAAATGAATAGTTTTAAACTGAGTTTTAAATGATATCAGCGATTGTCAGTTCACAAACCGCCGAAGGACAATTAATACCTGCCCCAACCAAAAAGTGCCCACACCATTGGAAAAGACTTCAATTCACTTTGAAAAATGCACGAGTCCAATGATATTTTCATTGTTGGTTGGCTGCGTTTGTCTTTCCTCGACTGCAACGGGCTACGTACCCCTACGGACTCCATACTCCTGGACGAACTCCATTGTTATATGAAGTCTAAATGGGGATATGTAGTAGTATTAAATAAGCTGTGCCTAACACCTCAATTCAATAGAAATGACACGTTCATCTTGACTTTGTCCAATGCTTGGGGTCGTCGTTCGTTGGAGCACAAGTACCCAATGTCCATCGCATTCGTGCACGTTGTCGGCAACATGCCACCCCTGGAAGGACAGTTTTTATCGGCGACGGTGCTGCTGAGGTGGTCCTTGGTCTGCTCACGAGCACGCTTCTTATAGGCGCGGATCTTGTCTTTGTTTTTCTGGTAGTACGCTTTGAACCGGAGTAGTTCCTTGTCGCGATTCTTGGCGTAGTAGCGGCGCATGGACAGGATGTTGGCTTGCCGGACGTGAGTGGTATACACGTGGGCGTTGTCTGAAGTTTGGTCGGCGCTGGAGGATGCCATCGTGGCGAGTTGGCAAGATATTTTCGGAAATGACCTATCACATGGCGGTCGTCTGTAGCAAATCTTTTGGGGGGGATTGTGAGGCACATATACGTATATTTGCTGACTTATCATACAAAAAGAAGCGACTTGGGTTCCATACGCGCAAGTGTCGCACACACCCATTGGGTCGGACAAACCTAATTAGGAGCCCCAATTTGAACTCGTTATAACCATGACCAAACACAACGGATTGCGTTACGATACTGGACACACGTTCCTTTCTCCATCATTCCATGTCCTGTCATTTTCGTGTCGCTGCACGACGAGCAGTACAAGCAGGACGTTTTTACTTTGGTGCTGCCTAACGGCGACGACGGTTGCAGAGTTCCCTCACAATAATAACGTTAATGAACTGCTGGCATGTGAATCGCGATACTCTACCTTGAGGGAATGTGTGTGTTGGTGCGATCATTTTCAGGTTGTACGTTTGGAAGGGATCTGATCTTATGATGACCCCCATACTACTGTAGTATGTACCGGTACACCAAATTCCATACGAGAAATTGATTACCACGATGTGCATTGTTTTGTTGTCGCTTTTATGGGAAACAATCCCCCATTCATACAGTAGGACAGTTTTATCTGTCTTCCGGATATCGGTACAAGGTTCGGGGTTATGCGACAACCTGCATACAAAAGGTTCATGAAATATTGCTGTACTTAATATTAATTAATATATAGGCTGTAAAATCAAAATGCATGATATTTCGTGAGAGTGTCGATATTTGGAAATATGGAAAGAAGCATTGAATATCACAAATAATCTTGGAAAAAACACATCACCATCGCGAATGGCAGTGCACTGATAAATACAATGTCGAATTTCCGTGACATGTTCAAATTCCAAAAATTCGAAATCTATTTGGTTTGGGGGCAATTCATTAGTTGGTATTGATAAACAAATATCCGTACTCGGGGACAATTGCAATGACTGATACCCTTGTTTTGCGTACACTGTCAGTCTGAGGATACCTCCGCGATTTAATCGTGGTGCAATGGATAAGCTGGTGAAATACTGGATGACTGTTGCTAGTAGCACTTTCAGTGTGAGGGGTGAAGGATTAGCACGGCGCATTTTAGAACATTGAATTTGATTCTTATTAATTCTCCATTATATTAAATACATTCAAGATGTGTAGTATAAAATGTACATCGAAAAAGACATGTTTTAAGGCGACGCATTTTTTGACGACTGTGGACAGGTTCGTTCGCGTGGAGTAACGGCCGTGTCGGCCGCGACTCAATGCCATCATTTCTATATGACGAGAACGAGATTTCCGCTTCACCTCCGCTCGACGTTCCGCTGCAGACTCAGCCATGGATTCATACCTCCCCAAAATCGTGAGATAGCACATCCGATCGTCGGGACGCAAAGGGGGGAGGGAGATGTGAAAGTTGGTCATGGCAAACGTTAATCGAATGGTATCGTAGCACTTGTGACCCTAAGTGAAAGTCGCATAGGACACCTTCCACAACAAGCAGACTCGACCGAAAAATTCTCGGCGAGGACACGGACCCACACGACTTGACGATGGCGGTAGGTGTCTTCGCGGCTAATCCCTCAGAGGGTTCTTCATTTGATGCACCTCACGCAAGTCTGCCATGACACCATTGTACCCCTTGTTGATCATAAACGCCCACTTCATGTGATGAGTGTTTACTTGTACGCCATGGTAAGCTACGCTCATTTCAGCGTCGGTTTTCTTGAAAGCTTCACGGTGCACTTAGAGTCGATTCCGTAGAATGGTCAAGTTAGCAACCGACCCCAACTGATAGTCGTTCATGTTGACTGACAGGTCCACTGGAGATACCGACGCTTCGATCTTCAGGCCGTACAGATTGTGCTTGCAACTGAAGTGCACCATGGATTCGGCAGGTTGTTTGGTCGGTTGGAACTTGACATCAGTCGCGTACACGGGTAGGAATAGGGTTCAAACACGGTATTCTTGTTTCGTAGTTCAGCCATAGTAGTCTTACTAACAAGGCGACTCGTGATGACAGGTTCGATAACATCCACAACACGGAGCACGAGCGAGCGTTTGAAATATTGTTGCACAAAATCCAAAGTCGACAGCGTTCTTTTCCCACGATTGGTAGTGCTTGATACTACTCTGTTCTGGCTGAAGAGGCCCATTTGACTTTGGATTTGCGGAATTTTTCTAACTTTTCGTTTTACTGCACTCTAATTGGCTTATCAAACGGCGCGGATTCTCGTCTTTGATTGGTTTATTTCAGCGCTTTCTAGGCATCTTTTGCTCAAATGTTATGATCATTAGAAATGCTTGGCTTCGCCGAGCGCACACAGATTCACCCGCAGACCTTTCACTTTTCAATTCTACGCTGAACGTTCAATACACTCCTGCTTTAACACTGCCTATTCATGCCATCACCGCAAGCAGCACGTTCTAACAACGCACCCAGCGGCAGCCACGACAGGCGGAAGCTCGACAACGACGAGCGGCGCGCGATCTACGAAGCTTTGCTCAGCCTCAGTGTCCGCGGAGACCTTCCTCACGGCGCATACAGGAAGGTCGGACGAATGTACAACTGCTATTGGGAGACCACTGCGCGCATCTGGCAACGAGGTGTGGCCTCACTTCGTGGCGGCAGCGTGGTCGCCATCGTCGACTCCAAACTTAAAGGTAAAAACTTGTCTAAGCCTATATTTGCATTGAAATTTATTCATTTATGGAATTATTAATTTTGACAATTGTACTATTCTAGGTATTTTTAACCGAAAACGAACTGCCGAGGAAATTGAGCTGGCGGTGAGAGCTGTGCTGTACATGGCGCGCCAAACCTTGCGTTCTTTGGCCGCCCACTCTCGAATTCCCAAGACCACCCTCGTCCGCCACATGAAAGAAGTGAAGACTCTCAAGACCAAGTCAAGTTATTCGAAGCCACTCCTAACAGAAGACAATCAACGACTTCGCGTGGAGCATGCGCTATCCTTTCTTTCACAGTCGTCGAAAAATCCCATTTTTTCCAATATGTACAACTATGTACATGTTGATGAAAAGTGGTTTTTTTTTACGACTGTAAAGAAAAGGTTTCATGCATACAGTGATGAAGTTTTGCCACCCCGATCGCTCAAGTCTAAAAGGTTTATTACAAAAGTTATGTTTTTGGCCGCCGTCGCTCGCCCACGGTATGACTTTCACAAAAAAAAGTACTTTGATGGCAAGTTGGGAATTTGGCCTTTTATCGAAAGAGTGCCTGCACAAAGGGGCAGTAACCATCGCCCCAAGGGTATTATAATTACAGTACCTCAAAATGTAATTTCGGACATTTACCGCGAAACGATTTTGCACAAGGTAGTGCCAGCTATCAAGAGTAAATTTCCGTTGCCAGATCAAAATAAAATAAAATACTTGCAGCAAGACAATGCAAGTCCACATAACTGTGTGACTTCGCAGCTACTGCTACAGCATGGTGTTTTTGGTATTGAAGCTGCCAACCAACCTCCAAACAGCCCTGATTTTAATGTCCTCGATTTGGGATATTTTAACTCAATTCAAAGCCTACAACATCAAAAGCATTCGCGCACCATCGACGAGCTGATTGAAAACACTGAAAGCTCGTATGATGAGCTGCCCATGAATGGAAACATTGTCAAAACCTTCATCACCCTACAAAAGGTGATGGAGAAAACACTTGAAACCTTCGGAACGAACGATTACAAGATTCCCCATATGAACAAGAATGCCATCAAGGACTTGACGTTGTACAACGTTCGATGCGACCCATCAGTGCACAAGAATGCCGTCGCCTTCCTCAGCCAGCGACCCTTGAATTCCCAAACATGACTAGTTTTAATATTTTAATATAATGTCATTATATTTTTGTGCAATAATATGAAATTTTGAAGTTCAATACAAACTTGAAGATATTTTTCACTTGGGTAGTATACTTCAATCAAGATAAAAATATGGGCCTCTTCAGCCAGAACAGAGTAGTAACCGCCAACGTCATGAAAAGCGCGTCCTTGCAGCTTGTCTTGCACTTGAAGCCGCGGCCATCGGTCCATCGCGACTTCAAGGATACTTGGACGACGTCCCAGAGCACTTCAAACTCGGCGGTAGTGAAGTTGGTCATGATTCTAAATCCTTCGTCACCGGCTTCTTCAAGGACCTTGTCGATGATGGGGCATGTTGAGTCAGTAACTTATTTTTGCTCGTCGATGGTGTCCCCGTCCTGAGTGAAGGAGTTGTCAAGAAAGTCTTGGTCGGACACGACGAGGTCTTCGAGGCGACCTATCATGGCCGCGACGTTGAGCACCATTGGACTGGCGACTGCAGATTGTATTGTGTGGTCCTGCGGTGTGATGTGTGGCCATGCGGTGAATGGCGAGTAATAAATCGCGCTCATTCTCCAGAAATTGGCGGTAGCCAATCAGGACTGGTCGAAAATGTGTATTGTGTCGAGTTATACGAATGAATACGTAGGGATTGATCATCATGGCACGTCGTGAAGAAACTTTGATGTAATTAGGAAATTCGGTGGTCTAAAACTAGAAATTTCCAAATTGGACAATATACTATCATCACCAGCCAAGTTGTGGAGAGATGTACACTCATAATCAAAGCAAAGCAGTTTTTGCTGAAGACATCAGTTACTGGTTTAGGAGCCTAATGATACCCCGATTATTCATAGGAGATGAGGGAACAGGGAACAAACGATTATTGTGAAGAATTAAAGGTCCTTGATTCCTTCAAATCATCGAGCACCAGTGTCAAAGGATACGTGTAACTTTATTCAAGTTGACACATGCAAGTCAAACTGAACCTTGCCACGTCCACGGATTCAAACGGCGTTCGGGTGTGGATGACAATTCCATATTATTATTGTCTTGACAATGTTGATACTGATGTTTGTATTAAATATGCCTATAAGGCGAGGTAGCTGAGCAGCCCCAGCAGGCCCATGTCGAACTGGAATGACGCGGTGGATGCGACGGCGTTGGCGTTCGAGTAGCCCGTCACGTCCAAGTACAACGGCACGTTGATCGTTTCAAAGATGGACAGTATGCCGCGGCCGATGATGTTGAGCACCATGGTGTAGTTTTGACCATTAAGATTTGAACTGATAAATACACAGTTCTAATCGGCTAATGATATTATTCTCCCGCCTAAATTTTTTTGATGGTTTTGCCAGTCCCTCATTTTGGCAACAATGAACACGACCTTACGTACTCCAAAGCGCTCTTACACTGTCTCGTTCATGATACCTCGAGAAGCTGTACATTATGTCCGATCGGAAGCTCTTCTGCGAACTTGGTGTACCTGGCTCGAGCAACAGGCTGACATCTACGCTGACGATGGCAACACAAATCGTTTGAAGATCCTGGTGGATGAAATGAAGTGTTTCAAAACCCCTCTGGACTTATCGAGCACTTTATCGAAATGCGCGACCGCGAACGTGCCTCGACTAACGCACATCATCAACTAGGTCGTGGGCCGTCAATTGAATGGTTGAGCCTTTATCTGTGTGGGAAACAACCAGACTGTGGCTGCCAAGGAGTCCTATGGCTTCTTCAACACTTCTGTCATGGGCACGTCAAGCGAAGTCCCGAAGCGGATGGTGATGATCTAGAGAGCAATTCTTTCATGGGACAAGGTGAGCAACAATTACGTCGCGGGGATCTTGTCGACTGGATTTCGGTGTCATGGGAGTGCAGAACCCAAAAGCCGTATTTTTATTCAATTCAATGATTCTACGACCAGACTCTACATCATATGATGCATGTTCAATGTTCAGATATTCACCGCATCGACTAATCCACAAATCTCATCGATGTTGGAGTTTTCTACCGACAAAGTGTTCGAAAGTGAATCCATCAAAGCGTCAACGCGTTCTTCATACTCAAAGCGCCGGTCCATTGCGTCAAGCGCAGAGCACACATCCTCTTCGCAGTTTGGCCGCAGAACTTGGCGAGCTTTCTTGAAGGCTTGATCCTTCTTGAGATGAGGAAGACGGTAAACGTTGTCACCACCGAATTTGAATGCCTCCTCCAGGACCTTTTGTAGAGTTATAAAGGTCTTGTCCAAAACCTTCCAATCCAAATCCACGAAGGCATCCTTGACGGCAGGCAGGAGGTCGTCCACACAACGGGTAACCTTCTGATGCTGCAACGCCTGAATTGCGTTGAAGAATCCTAGCTCCAAAACATAAAAGTCAGGACTCATAGGCGGCTGCGAAACCAGACGAATGTCCCATCCATTGGCGCGCCCAGGAGACACAATGACAGGGTCATCGTTGTTGACGTGGGGTCTCGCATTGTCTTGCTGGACGTATATTGGGTGGATCCGCGGCCCAGGTCATTTCGCACGAATCGAAGGCAGCACGTGCTCCAAGAGGAATTCGGCGGTACAAGGGCTTCGTTAATGTCACCGGAGTCGTCACCAGGGTACCACGCGCGCGATTTTTGCTTGATGGCTTCGACAACTCAGTTTCGCCGAGCGCCCAGGTGCCAAGCTTTCCGTCCCACATGGTGTACCTTGCAAAGTCAAAGCGTGGCCGTGCCACTGTGGTCAAGAACATGACTTTTTGGATATGGCGCTTCGACATGCACTTGCGCTGCGGTATGTCCTCATCGTGCCACAGCTAGTATCTCCTGTTCACCTTGGTGACACAGAACTACTTCTCATCAATGTCGACTCTGTCCATCATGCCCTGCCACTTGTAACACCGTTGGCCATGTTGACGCACGAAACCGCGGACGAAATCAATCTTCTGCGTCTTGTGGCTTGGTGTCAGTATGGGCTTCAATCTGCTCGTTCGACGGCACAGGAGCTTCCGGTCGAGCAGCTTCCACAGGGTTGGCAAGGGAATCGAGGTGGCTGCTGACAAGCTGCGGTAGGTAGAGCGTGCAAACTTTGGGACAGCTTTGATCATGGCCTCGAGTTCACTGTCTGTGTGTTTCGGACGGCGACCACAGTTGCCACGCTTGCGGGAAGAGACATTCGTGCTCCCAAGGCTGGCCTTGGTCTGTTGTCCGAGCTTCCAGATGCGAGACATCCCCTGCCGAGTGATTCCATACTGCTCGCAAAGGGAACGCATGGCCCCACGAGGTGCAACACCGTTTACTTTGATCTCGAGCATGGCATGGTAGATTGCCGTGCGCTGGTCGTTTGCAAGCTCATGACCAAACCTTTGGGTGGCATGATCAAACTTCGGGTTCTAAGCATACTAGCAATATCTCCGTCGCAATACGCGTCGATTGCAAGTGATTCGAAGCTAAACGGAGTAGCAATGAAGGAGATACGAAGTTTTGTACATTTTTTCTATAATACATTTTTTCATTGGTCGTCAATTCTTCTGGGCGATGGTTCTCTGCGCTCGTGGCCAATAAAATTGATCCGAAAAATGCGTTGAATAGAGCTCTTCATTGGCTGTAAAATGTGCCTAATTGCAGCTGAATTGGGAATAAATGGAGTGAATTTCGGACTTTCAAAAATTGTGTCAACAGTATTCGTGAACTGAGGAAGTATGATTCAACGAATCAGATTGATTGCCAGAACGACCAACTTGGTCGGGAAAAAGTGTATTAATAATTAGACATATGACGTCACTGTGATTTGTTTGTGCTTATATTAATAATTAAACTAGCGATTTCTCTGTGAATTGTTCGTGATTTCAAATCTACAGTATGCTTACGTTAGCAATAATTTTTGATCGCATATCCGTATGCTATCAAAAAATATTGCTAGCACTCGAAACCGCTTCCATCATGTCGTAGTATCGGCGCGGGTATGATATGCGGTATAGTGTGATGCTGAGGGCTTCCAAGGCAAGGAACGATCCCGAGCGGATGTGATAACCAACGTGGGTAGTGCAAGGACTGTCGCCAGAAATCTGTCTAATTGGCCTCAAAACCAGTGACGGTGTGTTACTGTTAGCTAAAATTTACAATTTGTCGAATCACAATTCGAAGTCACAGAGTCATAATTTGGCCACCGAGTCATTGGTTTGAAACACATGCATTGGTAAATCTCTCCACTTGACCAATGATCCAGTGAGCGAATATATTTCTCGGTCATTGGTTATAACTTTGGAAATCACTCGGCCACTTCCAAAAACTCACTGTCAATGTAGACTTTTCGATTTCCGAAGGACAAATGTGGGATGTAATTTCCATTCAAAATTGAACATTAGTAAAACGATATTATCCAAATTAAAATTCACAAGCAAAGGAGCAAGTGCCTGTTGGATGGAACGAACATTCACTCTGAATGCGCCATGGAGCTACAGTAATCACAACTGTCGAGGTAGTAGATGACGCCAACGTTCTACACGCCCGTATTGGGATAGTGTTGAGCCCAATTATTCTTTGCTGGGGGTAGTCATCGGTGTATTCATATTTGTGCTAGATGATTCACAAGCTTTTCGATTCGGATACATGACATGAAGGAGCAATGCCCAAAATTGTTGCTTCTTCCAGAGATATGCACTAACATAAACTACAGTACTTCAGCGCTACTACTGTACTGTACGAGTAACAGAGGAGAATTTTCCAAAAACCGTCGTGTTCGCAAATAGTCACTCGTTACATTGGTTAATCACTCGGTCATTTTGTAAATCATTCAGCACTACCGGTAATTGCATCGCTTTATATATTATGCAATTTGACAACGTGTTTTTGTAAAATAATACTTCGAAGTATATATCTTCGGCTATAGATTCGGTCATTGGTCAAGAGGTCTATTGGAAAGGTTCCAAATTCAACCAAATATGACCGGATACGTGGTCTCATAACCGGATAAGCTATGTTCAACTCATTTAAAAAATTTCGCTAATTCGGAGGGTTTCGTTTTATAGTTTACCCTTGTGTTAAAATTTTATATGGGCACATTACACCCTTATAAACGTCCAGACATTTCGTACGGATAACAAGTGTTCATACACTTATCAAGATAAATCACTTATGCCAAATGCTGGCCAAGCCAAAATTCAAAAAGTATCTCTCAGTCTATATATTAATAATTGTCATTTCTTTATTCTTGTGTTTAACGTTATTAAAAACTGGAGAGACGTGTCGAATTATAGAAACAACGAAATGTATATCGGCAGATGAATTTAGCCAATCAGATTGCAGGAAATCATCATTTCACAGTCAACCAATCAACAGATAATTAGTGTGTGACTTAAATTAGAGTGACGGGCACTTCCGTTGGCCTTTTTTACATACAAATCTCAGTACAAAAGTCGATAGATGGATTTGGCAAATCAGCGCAAAAGTCCATATTTTGGCTGAAAGGACAATATCAAATTTAGACCTGAGTCACATAATTTCTTCCTCTAGCATCTCCTGGCCTGTGGATTCCATGCCATTTTATACTTAGATATTTAACTTCGGAAACGAAATACATAGCGCCCAGTGTGAGGTGTGAATGTATAGTAGGTAGTTCATACATTTAGATGGAGTGCACCATACATACGAAATACTACACCATTTTGCAGTTAAGTTGGACGAATGCCCGGTATATTTGGCCGTGTGCCCGATATATTTGGCCATGTGCCCAAGTAATTGGCCATCTCCCGATGACTTGTGTCGTGTGCTACATAGTACTACATAGTATTTGTTTGCAGGTAATGAATGCAATGATTGCGGGCCCACGCTTGCACGCATCAGTCCTTACAATGGTTGACATGCACTCCAGTTGTCCTCTCCGCACACTTCTGCCCGATTAAGCAAGGCAGATTTAGTGTTTATTATAATTCCGATGCATAATAATGCTCTGTAAATCTGTCCCAGATTAAGCATGCGTTCTGACAGAAATCTAAATCACGTGAAGCTGAGTAAGAGCCTAAATATGACTGCCAAATACTACGTAGTAAGTTGCAAAGCACAATACACGTACTGGTAGACAGTACTACAGTAGAAATTCCTAGTAAGCCGGAATCTCTGTGATTCATTGGGTTATAATTAATTCTATTAATGTTACGGAAGACCAATCCTGTACTGTCAGTGTCGGCGATTTTTTGGTTAACTGTAAGGCAAGAAAACTAAGGTGCAAGACTACGACTAATACGGTGTATCGGTACTGTATGCAAACTCGCAGGTACAGGGCTGTAGTATGCACTCCTGTACTATTTTATCCCCGCCAAGGCGAGTTCAATGAATTTTTGGCCGTGCAAATTTAACTCCACGGGTTATGACCAGCGAGTGGTTGCCTCCTTATCGCTGCATTCACCGCCAAACACTTGCATTTGTCAAATACTATAGCCAAGTCGCCTAAAAACTAACAGTAAAGTCACTGACTGAATCGTAAAGTACCGATACAGTAATGTACTGTAGCGTTAATCGATTGTTCTCATTTCGTACTGGTGCAGTGCCAACATGCTCTAACGTTAACTTTCGAATCCCCACTTCATACTTCTACGTATTAACAATATTAATTGCGTAGTACGAGTACTCTTAATAGTGTTATTAATAGTACTAGTTTTTTCTTCGATTAAGCTTACTAGTACTATTAATACGAGGAGTAAGTAAGTAGATTTGATCCACAAACTGTGGGTACTGTACTGGTACTGTACCCGCTACACCAATATTTGTACTGTAGCACTGTACAGTGGCCTGAGATTTGATCCAAAGTACCTGATATTTATTCAGCGGCCTGTTCGACAATGACAGTTGAGATATTGCGCGACATTTCAAAGTGCAACCACATGGAAAGTACCAAGGACAACGCTGGTGTTGCGCGGCTCGGATGTGTGCGCTTTGACAGTATAGTTTCTCTCGTTGGCAACGGTTTCAGGGCCCAGTGAACATACATTCACCCCCCCCACCACGTCGCTCTAACAGTCCTTTTTGTCTCGATGATTTATTGCATTACTATACACATAACGTTAGTGCATCCTACCGGTACACACACACACAGACCATTCTCGTGCCCTGGAAAACGAGACATGTCAACAATTTACTCCGGCGTCATGCGATCTGTCGTGGGCCAAAACGTGCACCATAAAAATACATCACATTTAATCCTCCTTGGTTTATTCTCAATACAAACTGGAAGTATATGACAAATAAAACTGCGGCGCCGGCCCACGTGAAGGCAATTTCAACCATGACCCACTTGTCCCACAGTGCCGCCGCCGTCGCCTTCCCTCGCTGCGGCCCTCCACCACCCTCGGTCCATTTCCACATTTGCCCCCAAGCAGCGGCGCTACCAATAGCACCATGAGCACAAAAGACAAGGAGTATTTCAAGTCGTGGTACACCAAGAACAAAGAAAAGGTGATAGCCCGGGTCAAGGTCTACAATGCTACACATCGTGAAGCCCAAAACGCCCGCATGCAACAATGGCGGGAGAAAAACCGGGCTAAGATTGCAGCGTACCGGGAAGTGAACCGCGAGCAGCGCCGCCAGTACAAGCGAGATCACTACCGCCGCGCCAAGGAAAAACGCCAGCTTCAAGCCACGGCCATGCAATCCTGTGACCAACCGGCGGTGACCGACACCGCATGTCCGCGCATGAAGCTGTCATTCCTGCTCCACCCGCAACCACAACAGCCCCCCCCACCAACGTCGTTTGCTGTATCGTCCTTATTGACCACGACTATCGACTACGACGCGTACATTGAAGTGTAGTTTGTGGTCGAGCCTTGTAGAAATTATATTTAACATGTCTGTCTATCTGTATGTAGTTTTGTTCACATGCTCTTGCTCATACGCGCTTAAAAGTCACTACTGTCGGGTTGCTACAGATTACAGTGCTGGGGGTACTGTAATGTACCAGTATAGGTATTAATAAACCGTCGGATTGAAATTATTCTACCCATTACCAATATAAATGAAGTACTTACCATTAATATTAATACTGTAGTACACCTTAGTAGGACCTGCATTTACAGTTAGTCTGTCTGGATTGTTCCGTGTGCGGCGCAGTGATTATTGGGCGTGTTAGGCCGCTAGAACAAGATAAAAAGCATGTCTCAATTCGAATCGATTGGCGGGGTGTACACAATACCAAAAGTATTTCCTTTGGGTTTTTTCGTGAGTTGGTTGCTACACGTGCCGACAGTAGCAAGCTCGCTGTGTGCGCAGTGTTATGCCTTGTCAATTGTGGCCGCATCGGCATTTCGCTTCGTTTGTGTGACATGTCACTCAGTTTGAACTTTCGCCCAAGTCACTGAATACCAGTATCGAGCCATTTCGTATGGCGCACGTTCTACCTACTGTATTCTAGAGTACCTCGAAGTACTACGTACTGTACCGTTAGTACTACTGTATCGTGTGCTTGTACAGCAGTGTTCGGCGGACCCTTTGGAATACAGTCTACTGTCCGCTACAGCACAAATCCGTAAAATATTTTGAGCAGCGATCAACGCGAACAATCGCGAACAATTGATGCAGCACGAAGGCTACTATTTTAATAGAAGCTTTCGTGCTAGTAAGTTAGAGTAACGTTAGTACATTCTATTAAAATAGAACGTACTAACGTTACTCTAACTTACTATTACCGGTAATAATACTACTATTCATAGTATGTTCTAGTAAGTATGGTACTCCTCATTGAACTCCAGACAACATACTAGCAGTTCCGTTCCTATTAATACTTGGAAGTATTATTAATAATAACTAATACTACTATTAATACGTAGTAATGTTGTGCTTTGCACTTGTTTTGGCGTCGGTTTTACGTGGCTAAAAGAGTGGTACTTTTGCTGTAAAAAATTGAATAAATACCTGGTGTTTTACGTAGTAATTCAGTGGGGTTTTATAAATGCCAAATAACTCTTGAGCAATAATAATCACATGTGATGCTGATGTGACCAAAACACTTTGGCTATTAATTCCATCGCGTAGTACATACCGTATGCGTCGACAAACATGGCACACAAGCTACAACGAAACCCCGTTGTAATACATATGCGTCGACAAACGTGGCACACAAGTCACAACGAAACCCCGTTGTAATACAGTACTTCGACGTACAGTGTAGTAGTAACGTTAACGTTATGAATTCGAAAGCCAAAGTCGACTTCACGAGCTCACATTATTATTCAAATTAACTTGCGTGTTGTGGTCATTTTCACATTTATAGTGAGTGATATGTACAGTACCCCTGTCTTTCACCGCCCCAGTTTTGTTGCAACGTTAGCACCCCTTTTCATTTACGTAACGGGCTACAAAGAATTGAATTCGAGCACATAACTACGACGTTCGGTGTGTAGATCAGTACAATTCCCTCATTAAAACAGTTCCACTGTTGTTTTGTCCCGAAATACTGTTTCAATGAGATTTATATGGAATTTTGCATGCTCAGACCACCTCACCTCTTACTAGGGGTTAAGTGCATCTCAGTGGTTAGCGATAGCTAACCACTAACGATGCAGCTAACCCCAGAGATTTAGCATCGTATGTACTCACCGGGGGTAGGACAGAGTCCCAGGTTACAGGGCTACCGGCGAAAAGGTGTATCGGGATGTAATTATTCCCTCGTTGACTGCGAAACAGTATTTCGGGTCAAAACAACAGTGGAACTGTTTTAATGAGGAACTGTTTTAATGAGGTAATTATTCTGTAGATCATCCCATCGAAATGGGCATGTTTTTGGGTGGTTCAAATGTAGTACCTCGAAGTATGAGTAGTAAATATAACGTTCGTGTTAGACATTGAGGATGTACGACAGTTGCATGTGCGGATGATGAACGACACTAGAAGCGGCGGTCGTAGGGGGCGAGGACACCACCGCCCCCGCCAAGAGTTGGAGCAACCCGCCTGCTTGGGGCTCCACTGGCTGTTGTTGGAGGGCCCGGTCCAGCTGTTTTTGCTTGTCTTTGTACGCCTTATCATACGCATGGCGTTTGTCCTTGTTCTTCTCCCTGTAGGCCCGGGCTCGTTCGAGGATCTTGTCGCGATTGGCTTCGAAGTACCGTTTGTGGCGCTCCTTCTCCTTGTCGCGGTTGTTTTCCCGGTACTTTCGCTTGTGCTGCAGAACTCGGTCGCGGTTCTTCACGTGCCATTCGCGAACGTGATCCTTGTTTCGGGCGTTGTACGCTTTGCGCTTGAGTTTATTCTTTTCATACCACTCCTTGTAGTATTGGCGTTTTGAGGACGAGGTCCCACTCGGGTCGACGTCCATGGAGGGCGACACGGTACTCGTTGCGGCGTTGGGGGTCGCCGGGGTGCAAGGGGGGGTGGTAGGGCACGTGATGGACATGATAGGATTGCTGGAAATTGCAAAGTGCACACTGAAGATTTAGGGGTACATGCGTGGTTTGTCCGCTGACACACATGCGAGTGTGCAATCAGCCAATCACAATCGGCCTAGTCAAGTTGTCCGTGGAAGTTCGTAGCCAAGCGATCTCGGTTTTGATTGGCCCAAGGCGCGTTGCATATCGTTGTTTGTCCCAGCCCAAGCAGCCACTGGATGACTGTGTCAGTTTTCATTGGCTGCGTCCATCGGGCTTTCGGCAAGCGGGGAAGTGTGTCAGTCATGTGTACAGACTTGACATCCGAACACATGCGAACAGACTGCGTTCGAAAGTTGCTGTAGAAGCTGCAGCGCGTGCCTTTCCAAGTGTACAGTAAATGTCAATCACTCAATCGGTTTCGTTGATTTACAGTTCGTAAATATTACACTTACGCTGAAGTTCATTTGTCGAGCTTTTGTCTGTTACTACTCCGGAGTACTATAATAATACACTGTACTGCTATTATTAAACCCCTAGGATTGACGAGATCTTTAATACTTCGTAATAACGTTACCGGCAAGGTTAGTAGTAACGTTAGAGCATCACCACATCCCAACTCGCCATCCCTAAAAATCATTGCTACAGTTGTACCTCGTAGTTACGGATACTACGCAGAATTTGGGGACTTATCCGGGTGATTTTGTCCCCATTTGCCTCGGACATCCCAAAAAGTGCAAATTATTGGGATATCGGAGGCAAATGGGGGCAGAATCACCCGGATAATCGCCAAAATATCCGTACTGCATCCTGAAGTAACGGTACAATCGAAGTTCTGGGTTATGGGGAAAATATTTGGGGATGCGGTGGAGATGCTCTTAGTACTAGTACTATACTGTGCTGTAATACTGTAATACTATAATACTAGTAGTATTAATACTAACAGTAAGCTTATCTAATTGGCTGAGAGAATTCTACTTTGAACCAGTCATTTACCTTGAATATATCTTCCCGCATGTCCCATTTTCCAGACAAGCGACAGTGGTCTGTTCGAAGTGTGGGAAGGCTAGGAATGCAGAGGTATGTGAGACGTGGGAGTTCATGGCTTCGTACTACAGTATACTAGTAACTGCGACTACGCTGCACTTGCGTTCCTAACTACTAGTACATGTGGATTGAATGACGCCAAGTGGCTACACTGCAATGGGGTTTTGATTCGATGGGGAACTTCGAAGTACGATTACGGTAAAAGCAAGGAGCAAGAGCTGTATGTACTGTATCTGAGTACAATTGGTCTACCACCGGTACTGTAAGTTACCGGTAGGCCTTTTTTTTCTGCCATATCGACCGTGTGTTGAATTTCAGTTTCGAATCTCGAATGGCATATTCTTGTAGAACTTCGCTTAATCAGTTACTGTAGTATTTGGGAACAGTAGCAGGAAATACCAATACCAACGTTACAACGTGTCAAATTGAGCACACAATCGAATAGTAATACTACCTGTAGTACGTGTAGTGATTTTGTCGCGCCAACGTTATAGCATAAGCAGAATAATGCACTTACTGTTAGACACGTAGTACTTTAAGAAGTTTGTGCGTTTGGAACCGGCATTGATGGAATGATGAAGGCGTGCTGTACATCCGACGTGATGGTATGTTTGATATACTGGTATACGATTAGCCAATCAGAGACTAATACATTTTCTATTGGCTGCAGAAAACACTTGGATATTGATAATTAGCCAATTCGAGATAAATACGTTTTCTATTGGCTACAGAAGACAATTGGATCGTTATTCATGAGGTCTATTGGCAATCAAGTACGGAGATACTACTTCGACACAATTGTGTTTTATTTTATTTTAGAATAGTTGCCCTGATCGAGTTTCTCCGCAAAGAACAGCAGTACTGTAAGGTAATGCATCAATTGTTGACACGGCACGAAATTGTGAGACTGTCGGACTTTCAGCCAATAGCATGTCGATATTTCGTGTTGCCTTTGTATGATTGGATATGATAATATTCGACTATATATTTTATTGCAGAGAGCGACGCTGTGAATAACGGCACGGCATGGACTCCGGATTGGAGATACGTACTTTGAAATACCAGGATCACATAAACTACGTGCCTCGATGATGCATTTTGTTCAGCTTTTTCAATCTCAAATAAAAAATTATAAGTATTGAAAGAGAATGTCAACCAAGTGACCCTTGAAGCTGTCCCGTCGTACAGACCTACGAGAGCGTCACAGCAGTTGTGCACAGGGATGCGAGATACATGCAAGTACTCACTTCCGCCATCGCTACCATAGTCGAAGAAACGGCAGCGTGAGACTCCACGCATCAAGTGGATTCCCTCCTCTGCACCGCTACTGCTGTGATGAATTAAAGTATGATTGCATTTTTACATTGGCTTAAGGGTGAGTCTGGATGTCAATAAAAAGGCCAAAATCTTCGATATTTTGGCAATTTCTAAGGAATTGGCAAAAAGAAGAAAAATAATTCAATATTTGCCAAAAAATAAGAAAGAGGTTCGAGGGACTTTTCCTCTATGAAAGTTGGCAATAACTGAGAATCGTCGAGTATCTAATCAAATCAGTTTGATCCAGACAGTCAAAAATTGGTGACAAATATTGGTAATTCGATTTCGAAATGGGCTGCCAATCGAATCGACGAAGCAAAATCGACGCAGCCAATGAAATGTTCGAGAAAAAATCTTTCGAGTGGCCAATGAAATGGTGGTCGAGTGGCCAATGAAATGTTCGAGTAAAAATCTTTCGACTAATCAAATTGCAGGTGTGTCCGGTAGCTTCTCTATTTCAAAAATAATTCAACCTTTTTCTTCGACGTATCTGACAGGATTCACAATGAGTATATTCAGTTCAAGTAAAACGACGTCTAGACGATTTCAGGTAGATTTGACGTCGTTCGCCGAATCTACCGAAAACACCAAATTTTGCTTGAAAGCACAATAAAACATCAAATTACTTTGAACCAAATTATCGAAAAAATAATTGGCAAAAATTAGGGTGTGATCCAGACCAACTCTAATTTAATTCATGTGAAATTATATTCTGTGTAGCGAATTGAATGCAATTCTATTTTTGACAAATATTATTTACATATTAATTTAAACACATACAAATATCAAGGTGTTTAAGGAGTGCCATGAATGGGTTCACCTCAAAGGTTAGAAACCATAAAGCTCAAAATATTTAATTTTGATACAAATCTGAAATGTAGTCCCGGAGGGTGAGGGAAATGGCCATATTAGAACGAACTCGATGGAGCTGATGCCTATAATCACAACGTTACACGATCGGATTAGTTCTTACTTCACCTGTTTGACAGAAACCTTCGTCGTCGCAACTTCGATGGTGATTTGGTCGTCAACCTCCATGGAAGCGCACTTTCTCCGAAGCAAGAACCATTCATTACTACGTAGTATTTTTATCATGGCTTGAATATAATTTAAAAAAAAAATAATCAAAACGATGTTATGTGATGTTATATTTGGAAGCAAAGATAGCTAACAAAGTTGATCAACTTGGATGTTATTTTTGAGGCAGACACTTTCAAAGCCACACAACATGAGCCAGTGTAAACCGACCAGCCCAAGACTCAAATCGCGTGTCCAATAAGCATTATCACTACATAATGACGTATAATTGAGGTCGCTACAAGCTATATTCCTCGAGGTATTTACTTATAGAGTATATTATTTGCTTTTTTTCTACTTAGAGGACTCAACACTCATGCTATAATGTTGCAATCGCCGTATTTCTAGCTTTGAACGATAGCCTGCAACTAAGTTTGCAATATCTACATTCATTACCCCGCTCGTCGACAAGCCGTCAGAGAGATATTCGATGTCAAAGTCATGTACTTTCTTAGTTAACTAACAAAGCTGATCATAAATTATGACTACCTTCAAGTCATTTTTGAAGCAATGTTTTATTATAATGTCAATTGGTTTTTAAAATTTCAAACAATTCAATGTCAGGCCCATGCGATCGAGCTGTTAGGTACTGGTATGCTGCCAATTCATTTGGGGTTCGCTGTTTTGGTCATTATCCGCACCCTCCAGTGATTGTACATGATACATAAAAAGTGATGGCGCTTTATATTGTCATGTGGTGCTATCAGAATTAAAATATTCGTTCGCGTCCTCGAGCTGGGATTTGAAGTCCCAGCCAAAATTCGATCAAAAACATTGTTACAATTGATGCAATACCTTACTTCGAAGTAGTATTGTGCATTTTCACCCAAATTTGGACTCGTCAGTCATTTTGCTAAATAGCTTTCGAATCTATTTGTTCTAATTTAAGCCTTTACAAACTATACTATACAAAGATTAATATATATGTGGTACAGTCATCCCCCGATTTTTGCAGCCTGGAAAAAACGAATATCCTGTGTAATCCCATCGAATATTCAATTTGACAGGCTGGTGAAAAATTAATACTGGGAGACAGTATTATAGGATAGGAACTCACAGTCAAATGCGGTGCTAGCACAAGTCATATCCCGATAACACGAGCGTTGTCCATTAGACATGCGAATCCTTGCAAAGTGGTTAACTCTACATGCACGACATGGCTGTCGGAACAAATTCGAGCACTGCATAACAAGCTAGGACGTTGTTCGATGTTTGTACAGTAATACTTTACAATTGTTAGGGCTGGTCTGGATGCCACCCCATAAAATTATGCCATAACCCGTTTTGGCAAGTCTGCAAAAATTTCCCAAAGTCTCATATCCCATGAAAAAAAAAAGAGAAAAGAAGTATTTACAAAGTTGTCTGAATTCAGTTGAATTATGGAAAAATTGTTCGATTTCCAATTGAAGTGCAAGACTTCACATGTCAATATCAACACAAACCTCCATAAAAAAGTTGGACCAAATCGGTCCTTTTTTTATGCCATAAAACACCCGATTTTCAAGAAAATTGCCGCATAAAGTTTTGAAACAAAAATTCGAAAAAAGGAATATTTCTGATTTTGACGACTTTTCTTCGAAAAACAGCCCTTTTGTGCCATTTTTCGTGGCATCCAGACCCGCCCTTAAGAAATTGGGTGACCACATTTCACAAAACGTGTAGGGTATTCGGAAATTTACGATTAGTTTGTGCTCATCAAGTGTGATTAATCTCCTTATCTAGTGTAAATGTATACTCGTCCAAGACTTCATATAACCCTTTCATATAAGTACCTCCGTAAAGCTATACTCAGTATTTGGTCGGGGCTGCAAAAATCGGGGGATGACTGTATTACCCAATGCGATGGGTCGAATCAAACGTGGGGGATTGGCAGAAATATTCAACAGGACAAGTCTTTAACCGATTCTCCTAAGACATTCGATTGTGACAAGGGCTCCAGTTTTGAATTGATTTGACAATAGTCCATACTACTGTAGTACATACCCTGGCTGCGTGGCGGTTGCCTGGGGGTTTCAGGGGTACTCTAGGCCGGACCAAGTCGGCGGCGATAGTTAACGGTAAATGAGCTTGACACTCAAAGACGTTACAGAAACAGTACTTGATCATAACCGATAGAGATACCGTAGTCTGTAAGGTGTTTCATGCAATTTCCGCCCAGCTTGTCGTACTTTTGAAGTCTCGTAACTCATCGCCCATGTGTGTGATGAGGCTGCAAAAACATGCATTCTCAAGGTCATGAGGAGCTTTATTAGTTTATGCAGGACCCATCGTTGTATCGCTTGTCCATTTTGCTCGACGAAATTTTCAATTCTGTAATTTTCCTATGTAAATGTAAATTCCGCCCAGGTATTTGACTTGAATAATGTATGACAGATTTGACCACCGAAATTCTCAGAACCTCTTAATAGTAATATTTATTAAGTGTAAAAGGTATTCAATTTATAAGTTATTGTAATTATGAGATTACATGAGTTGTCAAAGAAATCAAATATTAAATGCTAAGGGTATTATTTACCTGAGTACCATATTTTATGCAATCATCTTCGTTCGATGATTGTGGTTGGCTGCTAACTGTGCGGAAATTACATGGTGGGCGGAAATTACATGAATCACCTTAATGAAACACCGCTGGGGCGACTAAGCGCCATTGATATTGTTATACTAGTACCTCCTACTAGTAATCGATTTGATTTGCTTATTCTAAATTAACTGAGGGTCGCACAATTACCTGGCCCTTACTCATACCAGTCGGACCTTCAAAACACTTCCAACATCACGTTCATTTACACTGTTACATAGCCGTCATGAGCTGCCCGGGGGATTCCATCCTTGTCGCATGAGCTGGTGCAATTTACAGTTATCATGGGTTTGATTGGCTGACATGTTACAAAATTTATTTATAAATAATAAAAAAGAAAAGGGGTTTAGCTTTCGGGTGGTTCAGTACGATTTCTGTTCAAGTATGGTGTTTGTGACAGTAAGCTTAGTTTGGTCAAAATGCGGACTCTAGATGCAACCACTCGATACTGTACCGAGGTGGAAGTGGGGGAACGTTCACCCCATGACTTCGTTGACATTTGTTAAGTCAATTCATATGGCTCAATATTTAGTTCAATACAAACGACAACTGAAGTTTCAAGGACGATGCGTTGTCTCCTCCACGCGGAACGTCCTGTGGCTGTTTGTCTCTGCTTTGATTGAGCTTGGCGCGCCTTCGATACTCCCGCGCCCGCTCCAGAATCCTGGCCCGATTGTCCTCAATGTATTTCTTGCGGCGGAGGACTTCCTGTTCCCGGTGTCTTTCTCGATATTTCCGCTTGTGTTCGAGGACTCGGTCGCGGTTCTGTCGCTGCCATTCCTGCACATGCGCGTACCCTTGAGCTTGGCGCCTCGATTTGTTTTTGGCGTACCATTCCTTGTAGTAAAGTTGTTTTGCTGAGGCTGTTGGTACCTCGCAATGTGCTGGCATTGTGGGAATATTTATGACTGTGTGGCCTCTGTCCCAAGATTGTCAGGTTGAAGGACAACGGACGGTTTGTGGTGGGATTGCCCTACCCCTGTGTACGTGGTACGTGGTTTCTTGAGATTTCACATTCCAACCCCAGCGTGCATTCGCTCACCAATCACAGCGCGGGAATGTGAAAATTAACTCAATATTATCCAATCATAATGCTTAACTATAAAATCTTGCCACCCATTCCAACCTGAAAAGTTGGACCATTACTATACGACGTACGACTAATACTCTGGAGTACAAGTACTACGTATTAATAGTACCACTCCGTCGCAAATCACACGTTTGGACATTCGATTAGTTGTGAAATTAGAAAACAATCAATTTTATTAAAACCTATTACCTTATCCAGTAAGTACCTTTTAGCCAATCACAAGGAAGGTGATAATGGTACGTTTAGGTGACATTGACACCTTCCTGGGAATTCAATTATACAGTTGAAGACACCTCTTGTTTTCGATATATTTGAGAGAATCTCCATACATTCTTCAAGTTCGGTGAACATTTAAAAAATTTGGGTTGAGCGGCTGATTTTATTTGAAGAATACACACGCAGTTTTTGGAAGAATAGCGATATACCGGTAATTATATGACCTTATAGCCGTGATTGTGCTCTTTTGATTGGTACAAATTTCACACAAATCCAATGATTGGTCATAAAACCACTATGTGGCAAGTCTGATTGGCTGTTTTCTCTGTCGTTAAAAGCTACTCTTTCAGTTCATCCTCCACCCGCCCGCGTGTCTGCTGCTGCTTGCTTCCTGCCCTCTCCACTTATTACTAGTATTAGTTGCTACTGATTGTTGATCAATGGATCTTGACAGCGTCACCACGAGCAAGGCAATCATGTGTTTTATCTCCTTGATTTTCTACGAAGAGTAGTTTTTTATAAGTACTTAGGGGCAGGTGTTTGTAAGGTCTTGTACGTGAGGTACATACAGTAACCATCAAACAAAGGGAGTTCCCCCAACGTCCCCCCTATGAGATTACTTGTATGCATTCAAATTGAAAAAGCTCTCAAAATGCAGAACAGTGCCCCGTCCTCGTTCGCATCGACAATGACCTGTACACTCAACGACATGATTTGAGTCAGCCCCTCAAAGTTTGAATCAAATCAAGTTGCCCCGCCCATACGTATCTCGTGTCAATCGATCAATCGGTTTGGCATATCTAATATACGAAGGAAACTTGAACCGTCCCAATGAATTCAACGACCCACCGGAACGTTGAGTTAGTTGTGCTGGGGGAGCAAATTGCATGTAAAGTAGTGCTCTAAGCGCTCAAGTCTTCTCAAGTTTGCACACACACACCTCACCTTCGAGGAAGTTTCAAGATTGAAAGTGTATTACGGGCAGTGCATACATGCAAAGCTATGTGGTCGTGGTCAAAGAACCATAGAACGCTGTCGGATCAGGGGGAAAGTGGGGTATGGCTAGAGGGAAGTAAGTCCCTTGCACAGCCCAAAGCCCGTTTTGAGTCATCGTCGTCGTGGGGGTGATGGCAAAGATACCGACAACCAACGTACTTGCTTGGTGATACTGAATAGCCGCCGTGTTGGACCCTTGATAGTAGAATCTCGCTCGTAGAAGTTACGACAAATAGGCATTCGTCCAACATCCAACAAATGATCGTTCATCGCATTGTTTCGCTCAAAAATTGACGGATATGTGGACTGTGCCGATCAGTGGGAACGATGCGTAAGAAAAATGACAAGTTTTGATCTTGACATCCACTTACGGTCGAGGGCTGCAGGGGGGGGGCGTCGACAAGCAAATGTACGGCAATAAAATTGGGTGCTTAACGGGACAAGCGATTATTGTGGTTTCAATCCCCCTCCATTTGCCAGATCAACGGTTGATGGTGCAAAACGTGCATTTAGTTCAATAATTTGATTTATTTCCTTTCCCATAGTTGGTATTTAAGCTTCCATGGTACATACTGATCTTCGTCCAGCGAACATCAAGCACTCCCCCTCCTCTAGTGTACTTGGCCTACCCTGGCTGCGTTTGATGATGACCATCATGGCCTCCCGCCATACATACCCGTCTGCTTCACCATATGGTCCAAGATCGTTCAACTCTGAGAAATCGAGTTGCTCGGTGAGCCGTCAAACCCCAACCCTAACCCTCAAACAAAACCGAAACACGTTTTATTTGTCCCCGATTGCGCTGCAAATCATAATTACGATGTGTACCGGATCATGGATAGTAAGTAGTCCTAGCTCGTACTACAAACGAAGGGGTCGTGCGATTGAATCTGTCGGAACTTATTAGTCAATTACTATAGCACTACCTTCAACGTGTTAAACAGACCAACTAATGACTGTCGCCTCTCTGGGTTGGGCAGTCAATGGTCCTGCTGTTCTTTGTTATTCCTTTCGCAATAACGTTACAGTTTACTTGTGTTTCACCGGTCAATAGTAGCCAATAATTCCACATATTGGTACACACACTGGTGTTTCCATCATATTATCAAACAGACCATGGCGGCAGCGCACGCAGACCCCGCCAGGTCCTCATTTGCACCGATGCAATCCTCGAAAGTAGCCGATATGGCCTTGCTCACATGCGCTACACACAAACATCGCACCCAATGCATCGTGCTGGGCAGCTGCCACTTCCTCCACACCCCCACCGTCGCCACCACCAACTAGCCGATCAGCATCCACACGGGTTGGCCGAAAGGGTAGTCCTGATGGAGCAAACTCGCGTTGGACGCCCGCTGGCGATTGAGGTTTTGGAGCTCTCGCCAGTCGAGAATTTAGTGCAGCAGGGTTGGCATATCTTCTATTGTCTGTAAGTTTATATTCATGCTGCCGGCGTGCTCCAGGACGTCGGGATGGCATACATTCGGACCTCAATCGCATAGAACTAACTGTAAACGACCCAACAGATCTGTTGAGAAATCTGTGTTTATATAGCGTTTACATCATGATGTAAAATTTATTGGCAACCGGTGTGGGTCTGAAAAATGTAAACTTTGCTGATGGAGTGATGTACTTTGAAGATTTTTACATTTCTGCATCAGCCAGTGGCTCAAAACGGAAAAATATTGAAGGTGGTTGGTTGAAAATTTTAAGAGTGATTGTTTTCTACCAATCATGTATGGTGGCACGGAATCAAGTTCTCACGGAACGGTATATATAAATGGAGGTAACCGATATATATATATGGGTGGTCTGGTGAAATACCTGGTACTATACTGCAAGCTAAGCGAAATATAGTGAAAAAAGATGAAATTAACCGCAAAAGGTGTAGTAAAGGCAACCCGAAAGAAGTTCGTAGATAGCTCACCATACCCAAGAAACTCGGAGACAGTTACATCACACCTACACCACACGCCTCCATCAGGGACAAGGTGCACGAGCTAGGAGACAACGCATAGCTACTCAACAACAACACGCCCCAGAGATGAAAAAAAGTGTGAAAGACGGTGTGTGAGGTCTCATCGTCAGCATCGAATGCTACTTTTCTAAATTGTATCATATTATAAAGGGTTTCCGAGTAAGAGAATATATTCCATTTCAACAATTGCGCACCATGTATTAGAGGATATCAGGAAGCAGGGTCGAAAATGACTATAATTTTGTGAATATTTGTATTGTGTCTCACGCAATATTGCTTTTAACAGTTAATCGGACACGGAAGTCATCCGGTAAAAGCAAACGGTTGAATTGAAAAATACTTTGATTTGACTGGATATGGAGAAAGTGGCACGCGATAAACTACGCACAACACATGCCACCATGATGTCAAACGTGGGCCACGTCCATAGAGTATACGTAGGCTTCCAAAATTCACTGTCAATACTAATGATAGTATTGACAGTGAATTTTGGCGCCGGCTTTTATATCAGAATGATGATTGTGGTTCATGCCTTTCGAAGAATGCCATTTGGTTGGCTGCAGTATTTTCGACCTGGCGTCCATCTCGTTCTTGATTGGGCTGGTCAACTTGAACGGGTCAGCCAATCGGTGGCTCTATTTTATCCATGTTGCCTTTTATCACAGGTAACGTTACTACAGTAGTAAGTTACTACTAGTCGTAGTACTTGCGATCCATCAGTGTGTACCTTTGAGTGACTTCTATAGTGGTCAACGAAACTTCGTGAAGCCAAGCTGGACAGCTCAATCACAACATCAAGGCATCGACCACGTACTACATACATGGTTTGGGTCGGTGGTGGTGGTACTCTGAAGGATAATAATATTAGGGGTCGTTAATAAATGTCGATCTTCGTCTCAGGACAGCAAAAACGCAATCGACGCGGCATTTCGATGGCCTTGGGTGGTTGTGGTGATGCTGCTGCTGGGTACGATGCATGTTGATGTCGTCGTCTTTTGGTGTTGTTTGTGAAGGTGGTAAAACATTTGAAACCGCGAAATGGACGACGCGGTAGCAGTGGGGGGGTAGTTTGCACTTGTAGACTGCGGCGACGGCTTGACCGATACACCGTGGAGCTGGTAGTCGCTGGACGGTTGAAACATGAATCGTGACTGCTCCAAGTTTGATTCTCGACACTTGATCCCGTCCAAGGCGTAAGGAATGTCCAACACGGTGGCTACTGGAGGGCTCGAGTAGCGGGCAACGGGCACAATATTGTACGTATTTGGGGTGGTAGCCACCTTATAGTGCCGCTTTGACGGGAGCGCGGGCGGGGGCGAAGTCGGAGTGCGCATGATGTGGAAAATTGAAAAGTAAGAGAACGTAGCAGTGACGGGGTCGGTCCAGATGGCGCCACTCGTGAGACAGATAGGTAAGTTTATCGGATGTGGCGTACTGTGCGACGTGGTTATGTATGGAAATTGTAGGTGACGTCTGTAACGTCGTTCTGGACGTATCGTGCATGTGAGCTGGAAGGAATCGATGGTGTCGATATAACGAACGTGGGTGCATTAACTCCAGTTGACCTGCTCTTTCACAGGTTCGATGGATCACCGTACAGTTGGTCAGCGTTGCCCTTGACATGTACTAGGTAGTATGGGGACGATGCGAGCGGTTCAAGGTAATGTTTCGAACGTGTTTCGTACATGGCCAAGTGATTCTGAGAGATTCTTCAAGTCGTGCGTGTGTGGCCATCACAAAGCAGCTGGCTAAAAGTCTGTTTCCCATAATCATTTTGAACAATTACCAAATAAGACCAACCGAAAAAAATGCTAGTACATACCATACATAGCCGGCGGCCAGACATTCAATGGCGAAGTAGAACTTCATGGGCCAAGGCGGCGGCTGGTCCTTGCGACAAGCAGGAATATCACACTAGTTTCCTAAACGATGTCACGTAATTGACTTGGCGAAGGACCTCGTTTTTAATCTCGTCGACACGAGATATTCGATCGTGTGACAGGAACCGACGTTTCTTTTCAGCAAGTGTGTTACGACTATCACCAGGTGGAGTCTAAACAGAACTTTTGGCAGCCGCCCACACTGCTCAACCAACGACGCTGCAATATGTGCAGCCCCCAACCGGTGGAACCTTGGCACCTTCGTAGCATTGTTTGCAGTAGACCCATATGAATTCAGGGCGCCACAAGTCAATTTGATTGCGACTTCAACAGGGTGATCGACCTACTAGGGGGGGTACGTACGTCGGGATGTAGCTCGTCCAAGTCCTTCCAAATGGAACTACACGTTTCTATAGCCTTCGTTCGAAACCTAATGGATAACATGGCGCAAGTTGCATATATATCCGGGGTCTGTCTCGGTTGAATTTAATTGGGCTTCACCGTGTGTGTAAGCGAACCGAAGGCAGACCACTGTGTCGTTGAGCTACGAGCCAACGATTTATTTGATTCACGGTAAACACCAACCAGTCAACAAGTGCAAAGATCACGATTGAAAACTCAACATGATATGCAATCATGGCTACGGAAACGTAGATGTGGCAGCAGGTGGTACAAGCCCCCAAAACAGCTGCGTGCAGATGGTGGAGATTCTTAGATACTGTACTGTACCGTGAAGTCTGTGTCGTCGACATTACCATTGTACAACGAATTAGATTGCACACCATAGACAGTACGAGATGGTATGATTGGTTCTGTCAAAAAGAAAGCGCGTTGTGGTTGGTAGGAAAAGGACGATGCCAAGTATGCACCTTGTGATGATGCAGGTGATGCAGAGGTGAGGTGGTGAGTGTGACGGTCACGTGGCCTCACCCACCTCGTCGCAGGCTCGAAAGTCAACATCAAGAGCAGGTACAGTACTGCAAAACAGCTGGAGACGAATGTCAATGGACCTGCGCACCCATACTATAACTTAGTACTACAGTGTACTAGTAGGGTGGAAGAACTCGCACATCGCCGTTGGCATTTCCGTGTATGTAGTCCATTGGTTGGCTGCAACAGTGGATGCCTAGGAATCAAGAATGTCAAATCATCAACACCCCCCCGACTTTCCCCCCGTCGAACGAACAGGATGAATTCGCATACATCCCCTTGGCCCAAACTTGGACGACGGGGGATGTATGGCTGCGTTGGGCTCCACGTTGGCCCTTTTCTAGCCATCCTACCGTCGATTGGTATTCACAAGTCGCTTCCCATTCTATCGAGTGGCATGCTACGGCGGACTTGTAACGCTTGCTCAATGGTCTGGAAATGCAGATTCAATTCATACCGTGTGGGGGTCATCAACATGAGTTAACTGTAACAGGAGATTCAACGCTACGGTTTCAAAGCAAAATACTTCAATAATTTGCAGTTGTCGAGGTTCTACAACGACCGTCAATATGGGGATTGTGGTGTATTCTAGGCATTACTGGATGCCGCTCCGACGTTGGCATCAATCACATGACTGGTTGCCACCAACGAAGCCTCGTATATTCGTCGAGATCATGTAGTACGACGGTATGTACTGTCACTCGTAATTGACCCTCCCCGACGCCACACTAACGCTACTTTTCGACACACTGGCGCACCTCCTGCCGACCCATTCCGGCCACAACTCTTCGAGGGTAGCCTCACAACAAGGCGGAGTTGGTAAGAATGACGCCGGTAAGAAACAACGGCAACAAACCATCGCCTCACGAAATGATCAAATACCCCGAAGGTTTGGTAAAATGCAATCACCATCCCCTCGCACTCACTATGCCCAAGAGAAATACCATGAGACCACGGGCCATCAGCCTAAATATGACAGTTGGTCAGCTCCAGTTTAGAATAAACAGCACAACATGTGGGCAGAGGACTGGACAGCATCAACTGGACATTTGGAGGGTGTGCAATGCCTGATGCCAAGCGTCGTGAACGGTGTATAGACTATGGGCCTACGCGGGCCGCCATCATTGACCAATTGGACGGCGTAGGTAATTCTTGTGACCCGTAGGCTTGAGGGCAATGCGAAAGTGGCCTTGGAGTTGCAAAGATAAAGGGATCTCTGCGATATGGTGGCGTTGATGGAATACAATTGTGGATGAGACGCAATATCATGATGCAAATCCCATCGGGCACTAACGTTCGAAGCTTACTTTTCTTGTGCAAACCCCCTGAATAAGAGATGCGCTCCTACAGTTCAGTGGTTTATGCGAACCACGATCCATCGAACCGCGACTATGCAGCATGTATGACCACCCTAAGTGCCCCCTGAAGTTAATCTCCCCCGCATATGTACATATGTATACCACGTTGCTACCACGATGCTATTCTGCTGGCTTCGATCATATCGCGGAATCTTCTGCTGACGAGGGTTGGGGTCGGTTATATACTATAGAAGGGGCGTCGATACTCGCAGGCTAGAGGTACTGGACTTGTCGTGCAATTGTACGGGTTATTGGCGAACGAGTACCTTTCAAATGTGTATACCAACTTCTAACTATACTGCTTATTAACAATAAGGGTAGATTTCAAAAAGCAACGCGATATACCGGTATTTCAAGTGATGCGTTCAAACCTCCATGGATAACAGCTAGCTCCCTAGCGTTGCGAACCTATCAGTGCTATGAACATCGATTCAAGCCTAGTGTGACCATAGACTTTTCTTCGACCATATATTGACCTTATTGACCAAGTGATCTTAAACTTATGCTTCCATGAAACGGCTGCAAGAACCGTAACGGAATAGGCCGTTTCACTTCAAGCCTGCACATTTATCCGGAACTGAATTGTGGAGGTATGATTGGTTGGACGTGGCATCTCAACCTGATGAGATTTCTTCAAACGACGGAATAAGCAGCACCATGCGGTGTCTTGATGGCTGTAAGCAAAAGCCAGTCAAGGGCATTCGACGGTTTGATTGGCTATCTTGAATATGCCAACGATCAATCACAGTCGGCGATACGATCAACTCAACTGTACACAAGATCTGAGATACATCTGCCTTTCCTGTTGGCGCCTTCGCCGGCCATCGCATTTGGACGCGCTCGTGCCTCCACGTCATTCATTGAGCAGACTTCATTGCGCGTTACTTTCACGCTTTTCATGGGCCCTACCCTACTTTAAAATAAAATCACTAGGTACTGTAGTCGAGGGTCCTGAAGTTCCGGTGTTACTTGGTCGTGGTTGGTCATTCCTATCACAAATACGATACATACAGTATCCCCTGACAATTGCCTGGCCATACACAGGTCTCGTGATAAAAGTTTACTATTAAATAGTACAGCATAATACAGCGTACTATTAATTTATAATGGTAGACGATGAGCCAGGCACCAAGGCGGCAGGCCAATGTCAAAAGCATGTGGGTAGTTCACGACGCCTTTCCACTTTGTCCTAGACGACGTTCTGTTCTTGTGATGGGCCAGAAATAGGTACTAGCAGATTAATAAAGGTGCGAATTGCATAGAAATTCCTCGCCATTCGACGATTTCCAGTTGCTTACGAACGAGTAGAACGTTGCAAATGTCAGCCCAAGAATCGAAACCTCCGCCAGCTTAACCTTCGTATACTAGTTAGAAATTACCATTGACCGATGACAAAGACTTCGCCAGCCCCTCCTATTACTGTACCATCCAAATCCACCGTTTCAAATGACGCCGTGCGATTGGTTACTCCAGTGTCCCTGGGTTAAATGACTCGAATGTAGAAATGTATGCCAAATGGAAACCATTGCCGATTCAAATTGTTCTTATCTCGAGGGTGTTCATGGATTCGAAAATATGCAAATCAACATCTCATGTACTCACTTTCGTTGGCCATACAAATACCAAGGTACATTTGATCCTTTGGACTTGACGCTTGGACACAGTGGGACCGTGCTCATGAATCGGGCCATTTGGCGAAATACCGGCATGTGATTGGTGGGTTCTGTGCATGCCAAGCGAAAAGCTCGTCAATGATTGGTGGAGACAATAGCCAATCCGCGACGATATCCACTTCGTGTCACGAACCGAAACTTGGACATCGCGCCAGGAAATGATCACAATTGAATCTTCCACAAGCATCCATCACCATGGCACGAAGCACGACCTCTTCCGAGTGCGGGAGCAGCAGCAGCGGCGACAACCACAGCGACGTCGGTGACATGATGGACCACACGTCTGCATCCTCTGCGTCGTCGTCGCCCACGAACGTCGAGTACCGCAAAGCGTACTACGCCAAGAACAAGGACAAAGAGATCGCGCGGATGAAGATGTACTACGAGACGAACAAGGAAAAGTTCAGCGCGTACGGCAAAGACTACTACGAGCGCAACCGCGAAAAGGAACTCGGCCGGTTCAAGGCGTACCGCGCCAAGAACCTCGAACGCGACCTCGAACGCAAAAAGCAATGGTACACCCGCAACCGAGAAAAGATCCTCGCCTATGCTAAGGCGTACGACTTGAAGAATCGGGACAAGCGCAATGCCTACCAACGCGAACGACGACGGAAGTTGAAGGAAGCGGCCAACAACACCAACTCCACCACCCCTATCGTCGACAAGCACACAACGACCACATCTTCGAACATGCACATGTCGTTCTTGCTGAATCCAGTGTCGTCGGAGTAGTCGGGTACTAGTGTTAGGTAGTAGTAGTTAGTCGTGGTGTCAGTTTGCCACATGTAATTTTTTGTAATCTCCAAGTGTAATTTAGCTGACGACGTACAAGCTTGATCATATCATTCACTTGGCTACAGTAACGGCTCTTCCTAGGGGATGAAAAGTTGGTAGAAACGTTATCAAATAATACTTCGAAGTAACTTTTATACTAGTACATACTACTAGTAGTATATAGTATAGCGATATATTTTGCACAATTGCGTTGTATAGAAAAATCTTCGAAGTACTACTATTGTTCGATTTGATACAAATTTGGGTGAAATCGAATCGCGCTGACCAAACCGATCCGCAATCGATCTGATTGGTTGAATTTCATTGAGAAGGTTTTGATTGGATACTAATTTTGAGCTCGTCTGAAGTAGCCAATCAAATCGATTTCAATTCCAACGAGAAACCACAACACGAAATTTCACTCGAAATTTGCACAATAGTAGCCAACTTTATCAGTAAGAGTCATACATAGTAGTACTATTAATAGTAGTAATATGTGATACTAGTAATACTACTATTAATAGGACTACATTGATTAACTGTACGAGCATCCCACACCGGCTGATTAAACATACATTGTAGAGCTGAAAAGCCCCGTTTATTGGATGTGTGCTGTAACAGTAGTATATATTACTGTACATCACATTGGCGGAAATTGTTCTCCTGATGGAGCAAACTCGCGTACGACGCCCGCTGGCGATTGAGGTTTTGGAGCTCTCGCCAGTCGGTGCGGCAGGGTTGCCATACCTTCTATTGTCTGTAAGATTCATATTCATGATGCCGGCGTGCTCCAGGACGTCGGGATGGCATACATTTGGACCTCAATCGCATAGAACGAACTGTAAACGACCCAACAGATCTGTTGAGAAATCTGTGTTTATGGAGCGTGTACGTCATGATGTAAAATTTATGGAGCGTGTACGTCATGATGTAAAATTTATTCGCAACCAGTGTGGGTCTGAAAAATGTAAATTTTGCTAATGTAGTGATGTACTTTGAAGATTTTTACATTTCTACATCAGCCGGTGGGGATGCTCTAAGAGCGTGATCTCCGAACAATTCGTTCTTGCTTTTGGGTGTTCATAATGTACTATTAATAGTAGTAGTTACTAACGTTACATTGATTGACTGTAAGAGCGTGGCCCCCGAACAATTCGTTCAGATCAAATTGGCTTTTATTCCCATCAATAATGTGGTTCGGCACAGTGACTTAATGAAAGTTTGTAAAGTACCTCTACGGTACGGCCGATGCTTTAATCATAGATTCCCACGACGTGAGAATTAATGTAAACCAAGAAACATTTGGGTGATAATCCAAACTCAATTAACCAAGAAACATCAGTAGTTTACAGCTCAACCTCGACTGTTCATATTAGGTATCCTAGTGCTTCATCTCAACCTCCTTTCGCGCTTGTCGGCGCAATATCGAGAAGGTGATGAGGTCCCAAGTGAAATTTCCTATTGGCAATGACTGTGATACTTTTTAGAAGGAAATAATGTATTGAATCTGATCCCCAAATATTTCGAATGTTTTATATTTTTGTATGTATTGCCCCTTTGATGGGAAAACAAGTTGGCACTTTGATCGGGAAAAGGTGTAAGTTACTGGTATTATAATACTGTAGGGTTGAAAGTATTAATACTCCGTGAGTAACATCTCTATAGAAATGCACTTTGTAGAGGGATTTTGCAAATGGGAAAAATATTCCATTGTGAATTGATCCAATCATTCTATTCGAATATTCAAGCGGCTGCGAGTTTTGCAAATCAACAAATTTCACATATATTAGCCAACTCCACACGTTGGACGTTATCGTTTGAGTGGGGGAGTGGTAAATTTCTCCTTGATGAGATTTATATCTCATTTTTGGGTCGTAAAGCGATGGGATGGGTTTGTTTCTTGCTGGACTCGGGTTGGACATATATCAAAAAATGGTTGTGAGTGTGTAAAGGTTTGCCCAGTGACTGCAAATTTATTTGGTTGAAATTTCCAGTAGGGTGTTCCGAAATGTCTCACTGGATCCTTTCATGGGAACTGTACCGATACTAATAGTATGTACTAACAGTTTGTACAAGGATATTAGTACTACTGTAACGTTTGTCCTCTTGCCAAAATGTACAGTACTAATACTCCAGAGAAAGTAGTCTTGATTAAATAGATTATTAATCCCTTGACGCTCGTATAAGAGTAGCGGAAACAAGGAGGAGTGACAATCACCACAACCACCCGATGACTATATTTACGCCGAAACGTATATATTTATTGACAGACGACCATGCCGTCGTTGTTGTTCGTTTGACATGGAAAAAGATTTCAATTTTTGTATTGATCTAACAAAGTCATGTCTTCCATCCTCTTCCTGTCGATCGTAAATTGGTAGAAACTTCTCACTCCACAAAGGGCGAATCAGTGGCCTGCCATGCCGCCTCGGCCAAGCCTCTGCTTCATGCGAAGCTCCGTGCTAAGTACTGTACTGTACACCCCTCCTCCTTGATGCATCTCACGTAGAACCTCATGTTACCTTGCCCTTCGTAGCGGCGCTGCTTAGCTTCCTGTCGCTCTGTCTGTGCATGTTCTCGTTGATGTATCCAGCGTGGCTGCAGCAGTCGTATGCGCCATCGAACGACGCCGCCGCCCCCATAACGTACCAAGGCTTTGGTCTGTTTGCGTTCTACTCGACCAACACCCTCAACACTCCATTCTACGCGTCAGTCACGACCATGTTCTTTGCCGACTTTTGCGACGGGTATGCATCAGGTCTTCCACCGCCAAACTGGATGCTTGGAAACGCTGCCGGCTTCCACGAAGCCATTTGCGACACCGCGTCCATCGTGTCGCAGTACGTCATGTATGCCGCCGCCGGCTTTGCAGGTACCAGTATCGCTCATACATATACTTCACTCGTTACTTACGCTGTCCACAGCCATTGCCCTTGTTGCGGCCATCGTCGCATGCTTCGTACCTGTAGCGGGGACGGCCGAGCGCACAGTGTCCTTGTGCACGTTCATGTCATGTAAGCTCCATCATCCCGTGTCGAATCCTCAAACGATTGCTTCTGTAGCGCTGTGCTTGGTCTCGGTGTTGGTGATGTGGAGTGTCTGGTTCCAGCAGAAGCTGCTCAGTATCGATGTGATTCAGACCACATATAGCCAATGCCATTTCAAAGAAAAAGTATCATCGTGGAACTGCTGGTTCTACGGGTACAGTTTCTGGGTTGCTATTGGGGCTGTCGTGAGTTTATTGTTTAGTACGTACGCCAGTGCCGCCGGGCGAGTTGCCAAGGTAATAATACTATGCAGTCTAGTATATATATATATATATATATATATATATAATAACCCCTAGTTGAGGCTATATCTATATATATATATTATCCTTTGAAATATACTTCAGAGCGAATATTATAGTATTCCAACGATGTGTATCGATCGACTTGAAGGCGATGTGTTTATACATCCATTGACCCTTGTTGATACTATTTAATATATATATAAATATTAAATTGTATATTATAGATAAATATATGAGTAGTATGAATATGTACATCACACATATGCTGATTGTTGGCAACTTATTACGTCGATCGTGGTGCCCACATGCTATTATATACTCTTTGACCCGAACTATTTGTATTCAAAAACCTCTCTGAATCGATGTTATCCTATTATAATAGAATATGAATTCATTTTAATTCCGAATTGAAATAGCTGCGCCAAGTCCGCAAAGTATACGATCATCAGCTGGTCGTTGCGTTGCAGGAGTCGGTGGCGCTCACCGCCGCGGGACTTCCGACGCTGCAAAATGACACCCGATTCCAACTGCTATCTCCAGGGAAAGATGAAAATAATCGCGCTCTGGCGATGGCTTTGCGGCAGTCGAAAGAAGCGCATGATGTGGAACTCGCGATGGACGAATCTCTGCGCCAGCATCAACTGGACCAGAACAACTCGCCGTGGATTATTTCTCAAAGAAATCTATCCAAGGATCAACCCCGAGGACTGGACTCGCAGAAAAGATTGGGCAACTTGTATGGGTAGTTTTTACTTTGTTGCTGCCTCGGCAAGGTCATCGAGATATCTAATGTATAACTAGTAATACTATTCTTCATGTGTGACGAAGGTACTAATAATATATAGATGGTGCACGTCATCTATATAAACTACCAACTTTTCACAAAATATTTCTGATTTCTGTTTCATACTTCGAATTCATTACTCATAATTTCAGCAAAGTGAGACGTAGAATCTCTCGATGTGGTGAAGAAATTCTACGTCTCCGATTTAAATTTAGTGATAAATTGGTCCAGAAATAGATATTTAACCTAACGTTAGTGGTATTTTACATGGGCGCTTGGATATTTGGCCATTGGGGTGGCCGTATCTTGAGTTTTGTATGTGACTCTTATGGATTACGGGGTAGTTTTTACGCGGAGTATGAATTTCCGGACCCCGTTCAATCGAACCTTGCCGAGCGAATCGAGCACCAATCTCTCCCATTGGTCAATCCGAAATTACTTGTCGCTGATTGGCTACAATCCATTTTCGAGTTTCTACTGGAAAGGGCGAAGTGGATAATGGCCAATCAGATGTCTCGGCTCTATTTGTGCTCGCGATTGAACGAACCATGCAAAATTGGGAAATTTTAAGAAAATCGACAATACCAATGCACATTTTTTTCTTCCAGGGGTCTACCTGAGCTAAGTTCAGGTTTTTTCCGGTATATTTTGTCCGACGCACAAGTGATTCACACCATACTCGCTGGTAGTATGGTGCACGTCATCTAAAAACTTCCAACTGGCCAAATCGAGGAGTGGAGGTTTTATTATTTAACGTACAATTAATGTAGTTAAACCCAAAAACAAAATACGTTAAATACCGATTTCATGCGTTTTATCACTGCAGTGGGAGGTTAAAGGTCCCAACTGCATCCGGATATTATATACGGATAAGAGTCACATACAAAAATCAAGATACATCTCAGCGGCCATGAGCCGATGTAAAATACCGCTAGGTTAAATATCTATTTCTGGACCAATTCAACTCCAAATTTGAATCTGAGACGTAAAATTTCTTCATTACATTGAGATCTGTCGATTCTACGTCTCAATTTGCTGAAATTTTGAGTAATGAATATGAAATAGAAGTCAGACATTTTTGTGAAAAGTTGGTAGTTTATATAGATGACGTGCACCATATCTGTGAAGCTCGCCAAACATTCACGGTCAATATGTATGTATACGTAGTATATTTCGTCAAGACCCAACATCGTTGCAGTATATTTCGACTAATATCCGGAATATATCACCCCATACCGGTATATTTCACACGTTCTTCAATATATTTCAAATGATGTTTCATCGATTTAATTGCAAATCAATTGCGCTGCTTCATCAGGCGCTAACTTCCAAGTTTTCAGCAAGACCGAAAAAGAACTCGAGCTGCAAGGTGTAAGGTGGTTGATGATTCGGGTCAACTCATAATTCATACTAACGTTATTAATACATGTACAAGGCCAAAACACTCCACCTGCCTGACACCTGCAATTTACTTGATTTGCAATATATTGAACAATGTGTGAAATATACGGGCTGTGGGGTGATATATACTGGATACTGGTCGAAATATAGTACTAGTACAGTACAACGATGTAGGGTCTTGACGAAATATATCGAATGATAGGCGAATATCACGGATCAGTTGAGCGTCGGACAAAATATACCGGAAAAACCTGACCTTAAAATCTGTCAAAAGGAACAATGGTGTACCTGTAGTATTATTTGCTGTTAATTTCGAAAAATACCTGACGTTATTTAAGCCTGAGAAATTTTTAAACAATGAATTTTTCCCTGGAAGCACAATATATTTCGGTTTACTGATTCCGTTGGATGGTGATTTCGCTCATTCATCCATGCCCTAGACTCCTCCTTGACAGTGCATTCACAAAACCTCCAGTATATTTCGTGCAGTGACCATTATAATTCGCATGAAACTCAATGTGATCAGGGTAGATGAGCATTGGAGGCACCAACTACCACGTCGCCTGCTGATGCAATCAGCTAATATTAACTCCTACATCGTCAACGAGGCTAATACTAACGTTAGCTTGAGATGTATTAATACTGATTCGGTACTGACTGTGAATAAGTTGAAGGGATAGTTTATAGGTGCTTGAGGTGGAACAAGGTCGGAGTCTTGTTTTTTTGCACGGAGGTGAATTTGAATCGCGCGAAAGTCAGTTTGGCCACTTCAACTTCAATGAATCAAGCACACAGTACAGGGACTGTATAGACCAAATATACTGTACGAATTATTACATCGTTTCACAAAATATATTTGATGTTTTGCGAATTCACCCTGTCAACGATATTGAACCACGAAATATAATGAGCAAAATCAGCATGCCCACGGAATTATAATACTTCGTAGTAAAGGGTTCCACGAAATATACCAGATATTTTTCCAAATTACTGTAACGTTAACCGCAAAATTGTGTAATAACTTCGTACTGTACTTTTACTACATACCGGTACTGCTACTACCGGTACCAACAGTGTAATACATACATACAGTACCGTTGGAGTTTTTTCACATACTAGTAAGACTACTAATCTTCATACTATAAAAATAGTACCGTTACATCATACTATACCGTTAGAGTTTTTTCAAATGCTAGGACAAACACTCTAAGCTAGTAGTAGTACTAGATGCAGTCAACCACGTTTTTTCACAACTATCGACACGTTTTATACCTCTCGCATGTTTAAACGTTGCACTGTTCTTATTCTGGACAGGAAATACCGGATACGAGTCCCAAGTATCCGGAATACAGCCGGGCAAGCGCCGGGGTTTTTGGCTTGTTGCTCACAGTGCCACACACCCCGCCTTCCACGATGCGCAACGGCAGCCTTAAGAACACCATCATCAGTACGACGATGCCTTCCTTGGTCCATGGCACTCATCCTCTCTCTCTCTGTGTCTGTAGCGGTGTTCTTCTCGTTCTTGTCGCTGGCGGTGTGCACGTACTCGACCATCTACCCTGCATGGTTCCAGCAAAAGTACAAGGCGCAGGACCCGGTGGTGTTCCAGGGCTTTGGAATCTACAACTTTTACTCGACGCAGCCGCTGCAAAGCCCCTTCTACGCATCCGAGACTACCTTGGCCTACTCGGAGTTCTGTACGAACGAGGAGAACGGAGTGCCGCCGCCCAACTGGATGCTCGGCGGCGGCGCGCAGTTCAAGGAGATTCTGTGCGGGTACCCCATCAAGGGCATTCAATACGTGAGCTTCTTTGCGTCTATTTTTGCAGGTATGTTCTGCAGCAACTTGCTGGCGTCGTCGTCGTCGTTGGAGTTTCCACCTTGGTTATACCGATACATATACAGTATACTTATCTCAATCCCATAGGTCTTGTATGATAATGGATGGTTATTCACGTCTTTCCGACAGATTGTGTAGATGCTTTGAAGTGATGTATATATTATTATATAATATATATTGCGCTTTCCGCCAAGAATTCTATATATTGTGCAGGGATGCACCAAATCAAAGTATTTTTTTTGTATTTAATTTTTATATGTAACATTTGAGACGTTGGGCCATGCACACTATTTGAAGTCACTCGAATTCAATGGATGCACGAGTTTGATTGGTCAGTTAAAAGCGCAGTGGGTTTTGATTGGTCGGTCGAGTGTCTGTCTTCTCCTCCTTTGATTGAACAACTCCCCCCCCTCCACATTTCAAATCAACCATCTCGTATATATATATAGTTTTGTCAATATTACTCTTTCCAAGGCTCATGTGTTCCTAACCCTAACCTGGCAGGATTTGGCCTGATTGCGTCCGTGGCCGCATGCTTCAACCCTGCGGCAGGCTACGCCGAGCGTATCGTGTCCTCTACTACCCTCATCTCATGTACGCCCAGTATCTGTCAAATTTCTCCATATATATATATATATATATCCAATGTATTTTTCTCTTCTAGCGCTCCTACTCCTTGCCGCTTTGATCGTATGGGCTATTCAAATCCAGCAAAAAATGCTAGAAATCGATGTGATTTCGTCCGCCTATGTCCTCTGCCAAAAGAAAACGTCTGATTGGAGCTGCTGGTTCTACGGGAACAGCTTCTGGGCAGCTATCGGCGGCGTTGTGGGCATGCTTATCACCATGTACACGAGTTCTGCCGGCCGCGCCGAGAAAATTAGGCACTTTCGACGGGAATATGAAGCTGATTTGGCCGTGGCAATGCAGCAGTCTGTGGAAGCGACCACGCAAAACACGAGTCGGGCGCCTACAGGTATTTATTTATTTATTTATATATATATATAGGGCGTTGTGTAGTCCTATATATTGTTTTGACTGTATATATATATATATATATATATATGTTTAAATGTATATACAAGTATTGTGGATTCGGTACAAATTTCCAGACCCCGTCGAATCGAATCACGAATCATCATCGACGCTATAATGGCTCATCCAATTTTGAGTTGGTGTTCTTTGATTGGCTCTTTCAGAAAGGACAAGAATAGTCGGCCAATCAGAACTTCCAGCGTGATTTAATATTGATTTGAAAACAGCGCGAATTTGGAAGTTTATAGCAATTTCAAATATTTCTATAGGTTTTCTAGATGTATATATATATATATACACTGGGAAGGCATGGGGAACAAAGAGTGGTTGTGTGATAGTAGTGGCGTATATGGATGGTGATTTTTTTCGAGTGTGGCGATGGATATATAAATAAATAAATATATATAAATATTTTTTTATGTGTGGTACTACATATATATTTCAACCAAAGATTGGAATATCGTATGCAACTCAACAGATTTTTGTCCGACTTGGTTCTGATATTTATATATTTTGTAGCCGATTTTTCCACAGGGGAATCGTTTGGTGACAACTTGCATTTCAACGACCAGCAGCAACCCCCAAAGCAACCGTACGAGCAACAGCAGCAATTTTATGACCAACCTGGCCATGCAAATTACCAGAACCACCAGTACGCTGTCAAAGGCGGCATTGTTTAATCCTCGTACATAATACAATTAACAAGTCCGATGTATCACATATTAACAGCGAGCACCCAACTGTAAGACAAATTTTAGTGTAACTCAAAATTAGTGAACCCTCGAATCTATAACCAAAGATATATTATATAAAACCACGTTGGATGCAATTCGTGCTATTAACAAATGAGTTACGAAATGACCGAGGGATTAACCCATAATGGAACGAGTGACTACGACGGGATATTGTGCTTTCGAGTGAAATTTCGTGTTGTGGTTTCTCGTTCGAATTTAAATCGATTTGATTGGCTACTTCAGGTGAGCTCAAATTTATGAACCAATCAAAACCTTCTCAATGAAATTCAACCAATCAGATCCATTGTGGATCGGTTTGGTTGGCGCGATTCGATTGCACCCCCTCCCCAAATTTGTATCAAATCGACAATATGTACTACAGTACTCTGTACAAAACTATAAATCGAAGTGTTCGCTTAACGTTATACTAGTATAGAAATATAAGCATATAAAAATGTGGCACTGCCCTCGGGATGGACCAAGTCCTATTAATAACAGTTCATGTGAAGAGCTCTCTAATTACGTATTCAAAAGAGCTCATATATACCGGTATCCATGACGAGCAATTAACAATTATAGGTTATGTGCGAGGCAGGGCAAGGAACTCACCCATTTTCAAGTCGATTGTCCGGAAGATTCGACATGATTAGCGCGTGTTCAAGCAGTATAATATGTTGGAGGCATTCTAGTCCAAAACTACTGCGATGTGATTGGCTCACAGCGAGTGATCATATCTTGGTCAACTGTAACTTGGTCATTTTCGTTAGCTACAGTACATGGCGCAATCTGAGTGAATATGTTCCAACGGAGACTTGCTCTTTGTAAGTGAATTTTACAGTTAATACTAGTATGGATAATATCGTTTTATGCAATTTTGAATGGAAATTACATCCGTCAATCCATTTATTTGTGTCCTTCGTAATAAATCGAAAACGTTGTGTTTTTGGAAGTGATTTCCAAATTTATTAACGTTTTACCCAATGACCAAGTCACCACGTCATTGGTTTGAAACACATGCTTTGGTAAATATCTCACCACTTCCAGTGAGCGAATATATTACACTGTAACAGTGAGCGAATATATTACACTGTAACAGACTTGGAACAATTGTGATTCACTGGTTTTGAGGCCAAATGTATTAACCCACTAGGATGGACAGTATTAATACTGTAGTATAGTTACAGAGCAAACCCAGGACATAGTCGAACACCCCATAGAATACTGGTGTACTATACCGTATAGTGGTAACCGGTCCACTGAATTTTGGTTTGCGGGATACATTTCGAAGCTGCTACCCTGTAATAATACACGTACCACGGTTTTTTTACTGTATACTACGTATACAGTAGTACTCGAAATTACTACGTGGCACTAGAATCCGCGTTGGATATTCGCAGACGGATACAATTATAACACTCGTCTATAGCACTTCGATGTGCATACGATCGAAGTGTGGGTACTGTAATCGGGATGATATATTGTTATAACATTATGTTACATTGCACTCTGGTCACATGGTCTCGCCTGGCTATACGAACACCCTGATGTTTTCGTGTGACAAGCCACTCCACCAGCCACGACCAGCAGCAGCATTGCTCGACGTCGATCTTCACGCTTGAACACTCGAGGAAGATGGCAGATGCGCCAGTGTGTCTACAAGTGGGGGCTTCGTTGTATGGTCAGTTTCAAGCTGTGATTGACACTGCGCTAGCGTCCGCTCCAACCTCCAGCTTCGGGCATGCTGTGGCGTGCATTACATCGACCACCAGCCACGAACAGCCTCTAGCATCCTCGCCATCGTTGTCGATTTCCCCGCCTTGTACGTGGTTCACAGACGCCTCCTGTACCCAACCAGTACTCCCACTCGGCACATCCACGTCGTGGTATGTATTGAGTACTCGCCCATCACAAAGCAACAAGCACGCGCCATGGCTGGCTTCCGTCGCCTCCCAACTACACTCACCATCGAGTGGTTCTCGCCGGCAACTGCAAGCTGGCAGCGACAATGTCAAGTGTTTGCCAGTACCCCATCGCAACGGCGGCGGACTCATGGGGTTCGGGCGCTACTTTATTGGACTCAACGACCACCGTACAATCTTTTGCGAGTTCGACTACTGGTTAACCGAGTCGTTTACTGATCCCAATGGGTGTTTGTTCTACCGCGACAGCGCGTGTACGGATCTAGCCGATGTGGTCACCTCCACACAGTTTCAAGAGTTTTACCCGTACTCGAGTCCTTGGACCAAGACTGCATACTATGAACTCAAAGACGTTGCCGCCACCACCACTACCCCTACATCATCAAGTCCCCCTACAACCACCGCCACCGCCGCCACTCTGCCCCAGACAACCCCTCCTCCAAGTACGGCAGTCCCGTCCCCCCAAACACAACCACCACAGCCCCCGCCTTCGTCCTCTGCAACCCCCGTAGCCACGAGTTCGCCAACAACAAGTTCGCCAGAAACAAGTTCCCCAGTAACGAGTTACCCCCAATCAATACACGACCCCCCATCGACAGGCCCTTCTCCCTCCCCGCCCCCCGCCACCACCAGCGTCCCTGCTACAACTACTACTAGTAGTAGTACTAGTACTACTACTACTACTACTGCGTGGCCAACAACTAGTAGTCCTACCAGTCCTCCACATACCAGCACTGTGTTGCCCCACGCCGACGACATGTCGACGACGACGATCGAACCTACCACGAGTGTTGTACCCGTAGCCGCCCCCACATTGTTTGTAAACGTGAGTATGTCGTGGAAATGCTGCTATTCCAATGTACATTTCCTGTACACTCCGGCCAAGATGGACCTAGCTACGCGACTCGAAGCGTGTCTGCTAGCCGGCACGGATTCGGACTGCCGATTCTTCCCAAGCGAAGCCGAGTGCTCGGCGTTTCTACGCCAACAGCCAGCTTGTGTGCTCGACATGACCTGTTCTGTCCGCGTTCGACTGGTGACGCCCTTGGACGTGTCCAATGACCATCATTCCGTCTTGCCCCTTGCAACCAACGCTGCCGTTCCTCCAAATTCTACTCCTTTTGATCATGTCAACTGGGCGTGGAATGTGGTAGTGTGGGTGTTGATGGGTTGCTTTGCCGTGTCGTTCTTGGCCGTGATTCTCGTGTATCATCGGCGGCGACTGAGGCAATTGTTCACAAACAAGTCCAACCAATCCGAGGGCTCGGATGACGACGACGACGACGGGGGTACCCATGTTGTGCTGTACACGGACAGGACTAGTGACCCCCACCGTCTCTGTAACCACCAAGACCTTACCACCATAACCTCCACCACCACTACAACGTCCACCGCCCCCTCCTTCCCCCCCGATGACCCCCCCCCTCTCGTGATGTGTGCACAACATGCAGAGCAACCACTGGATTTCGGCGACTTGCCGCTGTGGCGCCTCGATGAAACGCACTTGCTCATGACAACGGTGCTATCGATTGGACTCCACGGGCTTGTAGCTAAAGGCACGTACAAAGGCCGGCGAGTGGCCATCAAGAAGCTGCTCCCGCCAAGGCATCCCCAGTCTACCACCCAATCGGTGCAGTTGTTTCTGGATGAAATCAAGTTGCTCAGCGAACTGGACTCGCCGTACATTGTCAGTTTGGTGGGGGTGTGCTGGGACCAACCGCGGGATGTGGTTGTGGTGATGGATTACATGAGTCGCGGGGACCTGCGGACGTTTCTGCAGCAACACCGCGAGTTTCCATGGACTCAAAAGATCGACTGCGCTGGCGACGTCTGCCGTGGATTGGTGTATTTGCACTCGATGGAAGTTGTGCACCGAGATCTCAAGTCTAGAAACGTGCTGCTGAATGCCAATATGGTGGCCAAACTGTCCGACTTTGGGCTAGCCAGACATGTCGACGATTACGAATTGACCCTCGGGAACGTCGTCGGCTCGTTCCGATATGCTGCCCCTGAAGTCCTGCGGGGGGAATTGTACACGGAAGCGGCCGACATGTATGCCTTAGGCATGCTTCTGTGGGAGCTGGATACCCATGAAGTGCCGTTCTCGGCTATGCAGCGCCAGCTAAAATGCACCGCAATGGACGTGTATAAGTACATGCTGGCACACGCGGACGAGTGGCTGCATGTGACAGAGTTGTGCCCGGCGAAGGTCGTTGACGTAATCAAAATGTGCACACAGGCGGACCCAAAGCAACGCCCAACCGCGGTCGTGTTGGCCAGTGTAATCGATCGGCTGAATGTAGCAAGTTAGTTGCTAAGCTAACTTAAACGAAAAAAGATGTAATAAACAAGAAATACGATTTTCCTTGGAATGTTCATTATTTATTGCCTCGTGGAAGACCAGTCAATAGTTTGGACATGATGATGGATATAGCGGGTAGATTGAAGATACATTCATATGACCCCTTGCAAATCCCCATAACGTTATGCGGAACTTTATGCGGAACTTTCGAGAACAAGAAATCTAATGTACAGTGTAGCTACACCTCCCTCCCCCCCCATTGACAATAATACAGTACTATTATAATAGTAGTAATCTATTTATAGTAACATACCCTAATCGCGATGTTTCAAGGGATACCGTCGAACATGGAACATCTTTTTCTTATCCAGTATAAAACATTTCCGCCTGAAAAGAGTCCCAAATACAATAGTGCAGTGTAGGAATGCTAGGAATGTCACTGCGCTATTGTGGGAGCAGCTACTAAATGTCCACGAATTTTATCGTATTGGTTGTCAACGAAGCGTCTTATACCATCGCCAGATTGGGCTTTATTTATATGCAATCTAAGTATAGAAACATCCCAACACCACCAACCTCACCATTCAACTTCCTTGCTCACACAATGTGCGTAAAGATGCACATGTCATTGTGTGGTTTTCTGTGGGAATTTCTCGTATCATATCGTTCCTATGATGTATTCACTGTCAATAATCTATTTCAACTCTGTGTTTTATTCGTCGAGCACGCCCCATGTTAACAGTTGCAGCCATCCTCGGATTTTTCTCGCCATCTTGTCGATCTGAGTCGGTGTCATGACCAGAAATAGATAGCCCTCCAACGTCGATTATATTATTTCACACCCTGCACGGAATTAAGAAGTCGTGCGATTGGTACGATATAAATATCGGTCCGATATTGCTAACACGTGTTTGTCTCAGTCACACATTTGCTCCAACGGAAGCTATGCGACGTCGAACATTGTCGAGTCTCCTTCAAGACACCTCGATCGGGTATATCGTGGCCAAGTATGGCCCCCCCGCCGTGAAATTTCTCGTGTCGGCCATGTGCGTGTGCTTGGTGACTGTGGACGTCACTACCAACAACTGGGAGCTAAACTACGTCATCGGCAACGGCAACACCCTGTTGGGCCCCCTGATGAACGTCGGCTCTTCCGAAGCCCTCGAGAAAACCTTCTCGTTTCCCATCGAAAGGTCGATTGGGTCGACATCCACCGTGGGCAGATTCATGCTCAACTACACGTTGAAGAAGATCAATGTCCGAGATAATAGCATGTACGTCCTCACGGGGGATACGTTTCTCATCGACAACCCGCTCAACGACTTGTGCAGTACGTTGAAGAAGACGTACCAACTCCCCACCAACCAGACAAACGTGGGGTCAACCGTCAAACTGGCCACGATGAAAGATAGCATCCAGTACATTCGAGGAACGGCTATCACGAACCTCCTCTATGGCGTTGGCACCCCACCCCCCGAGTCCACCAAGCACGACGAGCTCATTAGTATGGGCTTCACGCCAGCCAGAACAGATTTGGACCTGCGCGTGACCACGGGGGTCGTGGTTCCCCCTGTGGGCACCACGTCCTACACCAACGTGACCATGTATCGGTTCTACCCCCGTGCTTTCTGCACCGGATGTGAACCCGTATCCGAGCTCGGAATGACCGTCTGTCAGATCGCCTCGACATACAACGCCACGACCAAGACGCTCGTGGTTACGTCGAGCGTGGCCAACTATGGGCAAGACCACGTTATGGGGTACTTGCTGGAGCGCACGGGCACCACGGCTGGGTCGCTTTACATGCGCGGGTTTTGCGTGCTCTTTGTCCTCGCGGCGTTTGCCACGAGCCAGAAGACTGTGCGCTGGACGGACGGCACCACGTTGACCTCGTGGTTCAAGAAGCTCACACACATGGTGGCCCCCACGCTGCTGCGCCACCCTTGTCGCACGTTTGACTTTTCCTACTTTTGCTTCAACAGCGACGTGTTTGTATTCGGGTACGTGTTCGCCGTCATGTTGGACGAAAAGGCATGCAACATCTACTCCCGAGCGATGTTTACGTGGAACAAGAACACGACCGCGAGCGCGACCAGTGCGTGGGTGTTTATCCGCATTTTGGCCATGAACTTTCGATGGATGTGGCTCAACTGCTTGGTGATCAAGTTCCTCAAGTGGTTTGTCAACTTTATCTCGTCCACGCGGTATAGTGGCCGCAACCGGGTGGTAGCGTGTCTGAACTTTAGCACACCCACGTTTGTTTACATTGCAGGGCTGTTCTTCATTGCCCGCAACAACCTTCTCGACTACGGGTTGCTGGACTCGGTTAACCTAGCGTCGACCACGCAGTCGCTCGAAGGCATCTCCGTCAACATCTTTAACAGCGTTCTCTTTCGCGGGTATCCCAGCCTGGTGCTACTCATGCTCATCAACGTGTTTGTGATCTTGACGCTGGACGGGGTCGTGAACCACCAATGGTGGCGCCAGTTGCGGCAGAATTCGCTCGGCCGGCAGCAAATGTACAACTCCACGTCCATCATTGCCGACCTCGGGTACACGTTTATCGACATGGATGAGTACGAAGGCCAAGTCGTGTTGGTTCCCGTGCGGTCGCTTTGCACCATCCAGTGGTTCCTCATGAGCCAAACGATCCGGTTTGGCCTCCCAGAGCACCCGTCGGTCATCCGAGCCATGACATCCAAAGGCGCGACCACTATGAACCATTCCAAAGTCGCTAGCTCCACCATGAGCAAGCGGAAAATCACGTACTTGGAGTCGGAGCCCGTCGCCGCCGAAGTCAATGACTTGTTCATGGTGGCGCAGGACCAGGATGGGTACATCCACCTGTACAACGCGCTGCGATCTGAAGTCCAAGCCCTGAGTATGGAAGTCAAGGTCCTCTCGGACTCCACGTACAAGATAGCGTAGGGACATATAAATGCGGGGGGGGGGTTGGAAGAATTGTAGGTGTACTTCGGGGCCTGCTACTGTACACTACTAGGATGATACGAATAGGTACATACACGTTGTATGGTTAAGATATATCTTTCCACGTTAACTAACATTGTGATCCTGTTGTGCCATCAAGTTGGTATGAATGGATCATGTTCATATTGGTCTAGTTAGGCAAGGAAACGACCAACTGCCCAGTCTCATTACTATGTTAGTATTCGTCGCGTTATTAACAAAATTCTATCATTCGTGTAGTCATATTTGGATGCACGATGTAGTTGGCGATTACGTTGTGTACCAGCTGACAGGTGGGTGGCCTCGGGAAAAGGAAGGCGAAGGAGGTCGTAACGATACGTACAGTACATGTACAAGTGTATCCACAACGTCAATTGTGCAAAGTACAGTAGTTACGAAGGGCATGGTGGCTAACCTCCCGATGTTGTTGTTTGCAATGTCATTTAGTGATGTAACCTGTTACAGTAGTAGTATCAGCGAAGGGCTCATACATTAATTACTCGAAGAAACCATGTTAACGTTAGGGCAAAATAGTCAAAGCAACGAAAGGTACACCCCTGGGCCATATGAATATACATTCGATTGCTCATCATTAAAGTACATTGTGGTAACGTTATTGTAGGAATCTCTCGTGTTACCGGTACAGTACATTCTTGGTGTTTTGAGGCCGATATTTCAACAAGAAAACGCATCTATCTACGTTTCGCGCACATCGAGGCTAGCGGTATTGAAGTCATGGAGTGGCCCGCAAAGAGCCCTGATCTTAACCCTATTGATAACGTTTGGGGGCAACTGGCCTATTTGATGTACCAACGTGGACGTCAGTTTGAGTCAGTCGGTGAATTGAAGGCCCAATTTCGAGCTTCATGGGACCTACTTACCCACGAATACTTGCGTCAACTGGTCGATGGTATGCCAAACGTTAGAATGGTAGCAATTGATAACCAATTTGGAAGTGCGTCTATAGTTTTTCGCACCAAAAAAACTGAACACATTTGTCGACTTTCAAATTGTAATACAATCTTTGATTGAATGAATGTATACTGGGGATATATTTATCCTTCTTTCAAGATTCGCTTGAGAAAAACGCCAAATTGCTCACTAAAGTACGAGATGAGAAATCGATGATAGTTTGAGTCAATAGACATTTCAAGAATGTGACATTATCCGCGTCGCCACATGTCAACAATAAACGAGGCATAATTTGGAGCATTTTTAGTGAATAGTTCGTGAAAAACTCGCCAATGCTGAGACAATTTGAGCAACAATTCCCAGGATATCCGGTTACGTACGTATCCGGATGTTCCGAAGTTTTTGACATTGGTTGGCGGCGACCAAGATGTAAACTCACTTTTGAACATGGTTGACACAACCACCTCTACGACTCCTTCCCCGCCACTGCCGAAGACCAAGCTTCGTGCGTCTGCGCCGGCGTTTGTCTTCTCTGCCAATGCGCCCACATGGCAGCCTCCTTCGTACACCGCGCCAGCACCCGTCGTCGCCGCAGCTGTCCCTGCCGTCGCAGTAGCCGCCGCTGTGCCGATCTTGAAGCCGACTGCGAAAGCATTCGTGCCTTCTTGTACGTGTCTAATTTACATTCCTTGTCGTTTCTCATGCTTGGATCTAGTCCTTGCCACTCCCGCCGTGGTGCCGAGCACGACCGAGGTCCACACCGCCATCGTCGTTGAACCAACCAAGGAACCCACGGAACCCGCGGTCATCCCTGCTGCCGCCGCCGCCGTCGTCGTTGTTGCCGCCCCTCTCGCGATTGTCGTCGTCGAAGAAGAAGAAGACGCGGCTGCCACACCTCCTCCTACCACGACAGTCGCGGTCATCGAACCCGACGTGCCAACGACGCCGGTCGGTTCAGCGAAACCCGAGCCCGAAGCCGAATCCCACCCTTCGTCTCCCATCTCTTCCATCGCTCATGCTTCTCCAGACTACTCTGTCACCACCGCCATTGTCATCAAGGACGAAGAGCCCTCGAAACCGTCCGACGGAGCCTTATTGCCGCCGCCTACTTCGCGCAAGCGTCGCATCACGTACACGTTGGCCGAAATGCTCTTGATGGAACCCGAGGTACGGGACACATATTATCACAGGATACCACGACCAACATTCCGCCGTGAGTGTTGGACGTTTGGTTCGTGAATTTCCATCACACTATTTGGTGGTGTCATACACCAAAGTGTTCTAATTGGCGACTTATAGTTCTCGACTATCCCTTTTTTGTTTTTAGAAATATTTTATATCAAAACGACAATATGTGTCCATCCAAACATGTTTGTCCATTTTCGCTTTAATTTGGACTTGAGAATCGGAATTTCTGTTTCAATGTACACTTTTATCGAGGTACGTTTTGGTTGGGCCAAACGATGGTGATCGATGATTGGTTCCAATTTCTGAATATTGTAATATGATTGGCTAGGACATTTTAAAATACCGTTGCCATTTGAGTATCCATTATTTTTGGATGATTGTATTTTAATCCACCATGTATTTTTAATATCATCCAATATTAATTCGGTGTTCAAACGATTTTGATTGGTATTTTATGGTAAACTGTTTTTAAAAACTATTGTTTTAAATACGTGTAACCTCTTTTTAATGGTTATCATTTCAACCATTTTTAATTCATTTTAAACTATTGTCGATTTGATATACAAATTTGGGGATCGAATCGCGCCAACCAAACCGATCCACCATCGATCGGATTGGTTGTTGAATTTCATTGAGAAGGTTTTGATTGGCTAATAATTTTGAGCTCATCGGAGGTAGCCAATCAAATCGATTTAAATTCCAACAAGAAACCACAACACGAAATTTCGAAAGCACAATATTTTAAATTGATTTGGTTTACTCTGTAGGCGTGTCCTGTACCTGCGGGGTTGGAGCTGTGCGTGGCACCTCCTGGTGAGTCCAAGGCGAGTCGCCTCGCATTCAAACAAGCCAAGCCGGATACCCACCACCACCGGAGCAATGACCGCAAACACAAGGGCGGCAAGAAGAACCACAAGCATTCGCATCACAATGGATACAGCAAATCCAACAGCAATATCGCCGACGAAGATGATTTGACGCCTGTGAAACCATTGAGCATCAACGAAGAAACGCGGTGGAAGCCCAAAGATCACGCTGTAGCAACTAGCTCGGAAGCGACGACAGATGCGCATTTGGCCCAAGTCCAAGCGATCCTCAACAAGTTGAGTGTAGAGAAATTTGAACGGCTGTCAGATCAATTGATTGCCGTGGCCGTCAAGAGCGCCGACGTCCTCCGCGGCGCCATCGATATGGTGGTGAAGAAGGCGCAGATGGAATGGCACTTTTCATCCATGTATGCTCAGCTATGTGCCAAGATGGCGCGGTCGGCCATGCCGCTGCTCAGCAAAGATGACAGCAGCAACAAGGAAGAAGCCACGAGCGGCGCCAAGTTGTTTCGGTCGTTGCTGCTCACACGATGCCAAAAGGAGTTTGAAGTGTCTCCCTTGTCTGCTGCAGCGATTACAGCCAATCATTCTGACCAAGTGGCTGACGAACTGGCTGTCCAATCCCCCGATACATTGCTCTTGCTAAAACGAGCCACACTGGGCCACATTCGCTTTATTGGCGAACTGTTCAAGCAAGGCATGCTTAGCGCTCGCATCATGCACGAATGTATCCAGCGGCTATTTGGCAACACGGATAAACCGGATGAAGAGTCACTGGAGTGCATGTGTAAACTACTGGCGACCGTCGGCCTTCGGCTAGAAGAGCGCGCCGCCGCCGTGCCCGTGGAAGCCGCGCTGATCAAGCAATACTATGACATTATCCACAGCTTGAGCCAAGATAAGACCAAGCTGTGCACGCGGGTCCGCTTTATGCTCCAGGACTTGATCGACATGCGCGCCAACAAGTATGTGAGCCGGCTCAAGGAAGCCAAAGCCACAACCATCGCCGAAGTCCACGCCCAAGCTGCCCGCGAAGAAAAGCTCAAGACATCTGGCCACCGACATGTGGAAAAGCCAAAATTTTTTAAAAGCCAGAGCCTCGCCCTGCCACCGCCACCTTCAGCTGGTTCTTCTCAAACAACCAACAGGCAAGCATCGAAAGATGGATGGGAAACGGTCCCCGCTAAAGTCAAGTTGGTCAAGAGTGTCTCGGCTGATATTCGACCTCAACAACCACAACACCCGAGTCGATTCTCGGGTACGTACATAACGGATCGATCACATGATATGGATTCTGTGTATATTATTTTTTATACTTTATTTTTCGACTTGAGGCTGGTGATCCACAGATGCATGATTTTATATTTTTTATATCTTTTTATATTTTTTTAGAGACTCGGGATTTGTTTGCCCGATACAATCGAATGATTGTATGTATTGACTTTTGAACGTACAAAATATGATGCCCCCACCACATATGAATCAAATGCGTCAAAGCCTTGGACTTTTACCATTGGTTGGAATTTAGGATTGAAGTGATTTCATTGGCTAGTCGATTGTCGGCTATTCGATTGGACTAGCCACTCCAACTTCGAATCGAATGCATATAATACACACAATCTATTCTGTTGAATATATATATATATATACATCGCCTTGGGCATTAGAACGACGACGATGTGGTTGTATTATTTATATATCTCACTCTTATCGTAGATAAGCGCAACGACAGTGACAACCGAGGCAAGCCGATCAAGTCGCGCCGGGGGTCGGTCGAGCGCCGAAGTTCCGTGGACACTCCCCAGTCGGCATCTCGCCGTCCGCCCGCGGTGCCCCGCGGCACCTCTGTGCGCCATCCATCCCCCGAACCCCCTGTCGCCGCCGCCTCCCGTTCCGAAGACGAGCTCGTCAAGGTGGCCAAGCGCATGTTTAAAGAGTTCGTAGCCGAACAAGATTTGGCCGAAGTCCAAGCGCAGCTGCACGATGCATTGGAGCACACGCAGGCAGTGACTTCGACGATTTGGAACTTTGCACTGGACCAGAAGGACGCCGAGCGCAATGCCGTAGGGCCGTTCTTCGCCGGATTGGCCGCCAATGGCTTGGTGGACGCGGCGGGGATGGCGGCGGCGCTGGCTGAGCTCATCGAGTTTCTCGAAGATATCGAGATTGATATCCCCAAAGCGGGGCTTTACCTTAGCCAAATGATCGCGCCGTTGCTGGCCCAAGGTGTGTGGACGTTGGATCAAGTGGACCTGAGTGTGCTGCCAGACGCCAAACAATCAGCGATTAACAAGCACTTGGCGTCGGCGCTCGGCCAACTGGACAACGTGGCCGATCATGATGTCGCCCTCGTCGAGTTTATGAACTCGCATAAGTAAAGAGATAAAATTACGATGTGGTGGTATATGTAAGTCATCGATAAGCCAGCCACCACTTCGTTTCACACGAGACGCTATTTGGTTGCCCGAGTTTCACTCTTCGAGGTATAAGAGCATCTCCACCGCGGTGTTGAGAGGTATGGTTACAATATATTTCGGGCAAAACACACTAGGTTCGCCCAAGTTATACTATTAATAAGCACTTGTATCACCAGAATAATTACTTCGAAGTATCAGAAATAACCACAAGTCAAATTCATCGAAAATACCCGACGTTACACATCGATTGGAGGTCTCGTTATAAAGGCCAGCTTTACACAGTGTTGTACAGGTGCGTTATACCTACAAAATCACACGCAAAACCCACATCGTGGGTTATAAAGGGACCAAATTTAGAGGTGTGATGGAGATGCTCTAACATGACCTCTGATTGATATGTTTAACAGTGGTCGAGACCATCCACGATTTGACCATTTTAAATCATTGTGTAACCGTTACAACTCAAGGTTACAATATATAATTTTAAGCGAGTTTTGCATGCACATATTTGACAGGTATTTCGACCATTTCTCGAAAAGTCAAGTGAATCAAGGTATTTTAATGCCAGAATCGAATTCACTGAGGAAAACTACGGATGAAAACTGAATTTCATATATATTTTCTTAGAATCTCACAAAAAGGGTCGTGGATGCTCTCTTCCACTGTAAATAAAAAACTCACTAAAACCTGTAGCTTCTTGTGCTATGCCAGTTATGCCGAATATGGAAATATTTACAAACACTCCTTATTGAACCCATAACTTTCAAACTTTTGGATGCAACCTCTAGTAGATGATATCTGCGTACAAATCAATTTCAAGAGTTTGAACTTGGGCAAATAAATGATTGAAATAGTAGGCGAATCAACCGTGAGGACCCGCACCTACGCATATTTAACTGGCCTGCATGGCATCATACCATTGCGACCAGGTAGTCGTCCTAAATGTACTGGGAATTGTATGCGAATTAAAATATAACGTCATACTGCTTGCTCTCCAGAATTCTAACCAATCCGTCAAATCTGACGAATAATCTGATTTTAGCGCGCCGGATAGCGTCGACGCTAGAATTTAGAGTCCCGTCGTGGGAGAATTAAAATGCTAAAATCTGACTAAAAATGCAGTTTTGGAGTTTCAGCGTCACAGGTGGGGATGCTCTCAAACGAGTTTTGTATTGATCGATTTCGTAGTGTACGGTACACTGTAGATAGACCAACATTATAATTATTGAATGCAAGAAGAATAACACAGCCAATTTAAAGTAAATAGATGTATAAGTTGTAGTTAACAGTAAGCAATATCAAAAACTGACTGGCTGTTAAAGGTAAAATTTGCAGTTACAGTATCCGTTCTCCGCAAGGAGCAATAACGTCCCACGAAGTCGTGAAAAACTGGAAGCCTTTTCGACCAAACATACGGTATATCGCAATGGCGTCGACGGAAACCGCGATTCGAGTTGTGGCTAAAATCGGATTGTCGACTGCAAACTGCTGCGGTTGCGTTGTAAGGAGGACCAATAGCCGAAAAAAAAAACATTTGCGATACTGTAATCGCGGCAACAATACCGGTACATGTACATATCATTTGGGAACAGCATTATTATCAGGGCTGGGGAAAAATATATTTAAGTTTATTTTAGCTTGTCAATATATAATTTCAATATATTGTCGTTTGGAAGAACAATTCATAATTTTATTCAAATTCGAACAACCGAAAAATTCAATATTGCTGACTCAGAACAATTATTGTCCATATTTTTGATAATTCTGACCTAAACGATGGTCAAAGTAATAAGCCAGGTGCTCCAAGTTTTTCCTGAAAATGTATACTTTTTAAGATGAATATTTTCAAACAAATGATAATATTTAAACTATTACTAGTAATATTCGATCTCATCGAACTCGTCATCGTCACCCACATCGTCATCGTCACCCTCTTCGTCCGGGCTTGTGTGTACAACATCAACAACATCTACAAGCCAATACATACGGTTCATCTTCAAAAACAGGACGGCCAGAAAATTGAGAGGGAGCATGCCTTGGCATAGAGGACTCAGAAGAACTTGGCAGCAGAGAAAAAACGCTCGACAAGGTTTGACCTCGGCGGGAGGAGGTCGACCAAGTCATAATACTTAGCATCAACACGAGCTTTCTTGACCGTGTTGGCAAGATTTCGGTAGCCAGAACCGTCATCCAAACGCCATCCAACATTAATATTAGGTCATATCCTAATTCGTTGAGATGAGAGTAAATTAGGATAATGCTAGGTCATTGCATACAGGACTCGTCCGGAAGCGGCACGGCCTACGGCCTACCTGCCGCTGGAGGCTGCGGGAAATGACGAACATAGCCATCCTCGGCGACATAAGCGAGGATAAACGTATGTCTAGACGAAGGAGTTGAGTTTGGTGCAAGGCGACTTTGTATTCCATTCCGCTGTTCAAAACGTATACGTATGGACTTTAAATTTTGGCCGCCAGTTACGATGCTTTTTGGAAAAGTATCCACTACATTCCACGAGAATACCGTTACGTATTTTAATATAACGTAAGTATGTCATAATTTAGAAAGATAACATCGAAATATAGCGTCACGTTAACATTAGATAACATCAATGTTTGTCATAAATTACAGTTATGACAAACAATTATTAACTATCGAGAAAGTACAAGACTTTGTCGTTGAATTGCTCAGCAACGGCTTGTCTGGGCGTGATACATTTAATATGAAAACTGAAGAGATGGCTGCGGGCTATATAACGAGACGTGATGTGTGGCGATTGCACTTATTTAGCATGCGTGAAGTGAGCTCACACATGCCAAAAAACTGAAATATAGCTTACTTTAGGTGTGATTACCGCAATAAGCATCGTAACACCGTCCATGCCGCTTTATTACGTAGTATCAATGCTTATGTACATGCTACCATGTTCTTGCGTTGATCGGTGATGTCTGAGCCACGAAGCACCACATTAAAGACGCATTTTGGCGAAAACTTCAAATATAGCGTGAAAGATGACAAAACAATTATTGTCATCTTGAGCTATAATTTATAACATACATTGATATGTTATGTTATAATTTTCTTACATTTACTTCCTGGTGCTCCGGCATTACTGCTCATAACATTGTCCTGAAAATACCACCGTTCGATTGAGCCTATTTGGGCGGTATTTTGCTTAGTCTAGGCAAATTACGGTTTCAGCAACAAGTTCACACAGAGGAAGTAAATGTTATTTTTTAAAGTTATGCAACCGTTTTGTGTGGAGCCAAGCAACTCAGTGCAATCGATTGATGACGATGCCAATCCTTCAAAATGGCAATTAAAAGCAGTGCACGTTGCTTCCTTCCTCAGGCTGAACTCGATTTGATTCTAGCCTGTTGTATGGTGATGATGAACAACGCACGGCAGGAGCCTGCGGGACAAGAAGAAAAGATAGATCATTCGGTGAAGTGAGAAGCTTAGATCCGCGCTCTAGTACGGCCTCCCGGGCGCTCGGGGACAACGTAAGTTTTTTCACTACTTTACGTTTCATCCCACAACTTCATACAATTTCATCCCATGTCATCCCAATGTCACCCACATGTCATCTACGCTTAATTTAAATTAAAACTATTTTTTCCCCAGCCCTGATTATTATTGTAGCAGTCGCAGGTCGAAGGGGGATCACTTGACTACCTAGAATGGACGAGTTGTAATACTACGAGGCGAGGGCAATGCATTAGGGTACATTTGTATGTACAGTATGTAGTGTATATATTCAACTTTGGAAAAGAATATGCAAACTCGGGTCGAGTGGAAAGTGCAATGTGGCCGGCCACTTGGAACTCGATGGTACATAGTTCTACGCTAATTGGTACTTTGAATCGTTGATAACTTTTCCTTCCATGCTCGGAGCTTGGACTTCGGCTTTCAATGCGTTGTACAAGCGGATATACCCATCCAGGTCCTGCGCCACCATCAGCAGCTCGACTTCGTTCTCCGCTTCAGTAGCCTCAACGTCGACATGCACCGTGCCATTGGTCTCTCGCCTGCTAAACGTCGTCGCCAGGTCTCGTTTGGCTGAGGGGGAGCTGGAATACCGTTTGCCCACCGTGACATTGGACGTGTTTAGCTGGGACACGCCTTTGGATGTCATGGCTCGGATAACCGACGGGTGCTCTGGGAGCCCAAACCGAATCGTTTGGCTAGTGAGGAACCACTGAACGGTACAAAGCGAACGCACGGGAATCAACACGACTTGGCCTTGGTACTCAGCCATGTCGATAAACGTGTACCCGACGTCGGCAATGATGGACGTGGAGTTGTACATTTGCTGCCGACCGAGCGAATTCTTGGCGACTTTGTGCCACCACTGGCGGTTCACGACCCAGCCCACCGTCAAGATCACAAACACGTTGATGAGCATGAGCAGTACCAGGCTAGGGTACCCGCGAAAGAGAACGCTGTTGAAGATGTTGACGGAGATGCCTTCGAGCGACTGCGTGGACGACTCTAGGTTAACCGAGTCCAGCAAGCCATAGTCGAGAAGATTGTTGCGAGCTACGAAGAACAGCCCCGCAATGTACACAAACGTGGGCGTGCTAAAGTTCAGATACGCCACCAGGTGGTTACGGCCACTATACCGCGTCGCCGTCGCAAAGTTGACAAACCACTTGAGGAACTTGATCAACAAGCAGTTGAGCCACATCCATCGAAAGTTCATGGCCAAAATGCGAACGAACACCCACGTACTGGTCGCGCTCGCGGTCGTGTTCTTGTTCCACGTAAACATCGCTCGGGAGTAGATGTTGCACGATTTTTCGTCCAGCAGCACCGCGACCACGTACCCCAAGACAAACAGGTCGCTGTTGAAGCAAAAGTAGGAAAAGTCCAATGTGTGACACGGGTGGCGCAGCAGCGTGGGGGCCACCATGTGCGTGAGCTTTTTGTACCATGAATTCAACGTGGCGCCATCCGTCCAGCGCACAGTCTTCTGGCTCGTGGCAAACGCAGCCATGACAAAGAGCACGCAAAACCCTCGCACGTACAGCGACCCAGCCGTGGTGCCCGTGCGCTCCAGCATGAACCCCATGCTGTAGTATTCGCCGTAGTTGGCCACGCTCGACGAAACCACGAGCGTCTTGGTCGTGGCGTTGTACGTCGACGTGAGCTGGCACACAGACAGCCCGAGCTCGGATACGGGTTCACACCCAGAGCAGAAAGCACGGGGGTAGAACCGATACATGGTCACGTTGGTGTAGGACGTGGTGCCCACAGGGGGAACCACGACCCCCGTGGTCACGCGCAGGTCCAAGTCGGTTCGGGCTGGCGTGAAGCCCATACTAATGAGCTCGTCGTGCTTGGTGGACTCGGGGGGTGGGGTGCCCAGGCCATAGAGGAGGTTTGTGATAGCCGTTCCTCGAATGTACTGGATACTGTCTTTGATCGTGGCCAGTTTGACGGTTGACCCCACGTTTGTCTGGTTGGTGGGGAGTTGGTACGTATTTTTCAATGTACTGCAGATGTCGTTGAGCGGACCGTCGATGAGGAAATCGTCCCCCGTGAGAACGTACATGCTGTTATCACGGAGGTTCATCTTCCTCATCGTGTAGTTGAGCATGAAGATGCCAACGGTGGATGTCGACTCGACCCCCCTCCCAACGGGAAACGAGTACTCGCTCGCAAGGTCGTCGGACGAGTCGACGTTCAGCAGGGGCGTGAGCAGGGTGTTGCCGTTGCCAATGACGTCGATTATCTCCCAGTTGTTGGTGGTCACGTCCACGGTCACCAGGGCCACGCACATGGCTGACACGAACAATTTCACGGCAGGGGGACCATACTTGGCCATGATGTAGCCCATCTTCGTGTCTCGAAGGAGCGTCAGTTGAGGTGACACGTAAGACCGGCGACTCTTGGTACTTCGCCACATCCGTTGCCTTGCTGCAGCAGATGTCTAAGTGGTGAGGGACGTGGAGGTTGCTGTGTCGATGCTATGAATAGCCTTTCGACTCATGATACCCAATCACCTGGTCAAGAATCAGCGAACAGTGCAGTGGTTTATCCTGGTGTGGTTTAAAGACATAATCATAAATAGATGGGGGTTACAACGACCGTTGATGGTTTCAGTGAGGCGGTTGGTTTGACTATGGCCAAAAGGGCGGCTTGCGTTACCGGTCCTTTATGCTGGACAATGATCCACAAATTGCCCCAAACACAGGATCTACATGAGGACATTTATTCTAGGTAGTGACCAGGGACGTTGTGCATTTGATTTCGATCGGTCGCAGCGATCATACTATTAGTACTTGAAGTATTAATTACGGTGCTGTAAATTCTTGTACTACTGAGTATATTCGTTGGATCAGTGCAATGCGACATTTCTTTCGCTGGGTGAGTATGCGCATGTCTCAATTCTCAGAAATTCGAAGATGACGCCCATTTCTAACGAACCTAGGAACGCTGGCTACACGAATATACTTCGAAGTACTACTCGTACTACAGTATGTAGTACTACTATTAATAGTACACACTTTGGCCACACGAAGCCATAAGTGGTCTTATGGCAAATTGTGGCTAAGACAGTTAGCTTCATTCATGTACCCACAAATAAGAGCTACAAATTGCAAGAACAACATTTTGTAAGCTATTACGAAGTACTTCAAGTATATTGGTTTCCTTGCTGTTGTGTACTACACGAATGATCATCGAAGACTCCTCCGACTCTGCGCGCAATGCAACACAATGCACAGTGAACATGCAAAAGTGAATTGACTAGCTTATACTTCGAGATCTAATGCGACGAAGTAACGATAGCCAATGCTAGTACTAGTAGTTGAGGTATCAACCACTGATCCACGACCAACGACCATCGAGGTCTGTAGCGCTGCAGCCGCAGCACTAGCATTATAACCCTATACTAGTAGCTTTTTCAAATTGCATTCACCTTACTTGCTACAAGTAGTACAACTAGTAGCTCAAAAGAGATGATCCACTCTCACCTTGTCGTCAAACAGGGCTGAACTGTAACCGATAAATCTTGTAGTTTAAATAACTGTACGTTATACTAGTACTGCGTACTGTGTAGTACTATCCTACTAAAATGGGGCCACTACAGTTGAAATTGACATACTTGATTCACTAGCCAAATTGCTGATCAAGGGCATTCAATCGTTTAACGTTAATGCATTATCACGAATTTTATGTGCTGATCCCCATTTCCTGATATTTTTAGTTCACCAAGCCTTAATTCTATGAATCAACCTGTCTGCGTCTACCTTAGTAGTACTAAAAGCCTACCTACACGTAGTACGATTTGCATGTTAACGTCATCACCGTGGACATACCCCAATAACGTTACTAGCACACTACAAGGGCCACAACCGGTCTTCAACACATGCAGTAATACCGATGATGCAATCTGGCGTAGTAGAATGCATCAGTCAAATAGCGTAGGTACCAGTATGTGGACATCCACCAGAATGACGGAAAACCAGTGCCAGCACAGTCTACCCAAGGGGGTTGGCGTTTGTGAGACTACCTACCGGAAGTATGTTATACTCTGGAGTACTTGGCACGAAACGTGAAAACTACAATAATAATTATATGAGATTTTATTCGTAACTGTTGCGGTGTAACATGATTTGGGAAGTCGCCTGTGTTGCTGTACCACATATTATTGGATTCTCCCCCAATCATATTAGTACCCGTTAGATAATTTTCAAAATAGTTTAGATATTAAATTTTTAATAGCACATAGTGATTTAATAATATATATTTATATATTATTAAATCACTATGTGTAATATATTAATATATTTTTATATATTATTAAATCACTATGTGCTATCGCCTGTGTTGTCGGTCTGCACCACATATTGTTTGCCCCCCCATTCATAACCGATAGCCTAACGTACCCTTGTTCTGCCCCCCCCCCCTAAATATAACTCACCACGAGGCCATAGTAAAATCGATATTGCTTTCAGTTTCTGATAATGAATGACCCATGCTGGGGCTCCAGAACGAAATGTTAATTAGATGTGCATTATCACATCATAGTAAGAATAAAAAGTTGGGATTTGTGTGGTGTGGTACTGTATACTAGTATGTAATAATAGTAATAATGTGGTCCTCTGGTTATGCGGCACTATTTCTGAACAAGGAGCTGCGAAGCCATAGGATGCTCGACGAGGGGGACGGGGGATTGCGCATTCCGTTATCAGTCTAACAAGCGACAGCTTGGACAAACCTGGGTGAGGTTAGATTAGCGATTTACATTTATGTTCTTTCGTGTGGTTGTCGTGAATTTGCAGTTTTAAAAGCCACCAGCATGATGCCGTGGGAAAAGCGTCACGCACCTGAATGCATTTGTATAACTTCTTATCGAGTATGTACTGTTAACTACTCCGAGTACACCGGTAGAACGAACGTGCTTGTACAATACTTGCATTTGTATAACTTCTTATCGAGTACTACGTACTGTTAACTACTCCGAGTACACCGGTAGAACGAACGTGCTTGTACAATACTTGTATGCCACATCTTTACTAGTATGACTGTAAACAGGTTAGCAGGTTTTGGATGGCAGCTACACACATTGTAGTAGCTACAATGCGTAGCTGCACATACTTACATGTTAGGGGAAGTTCTTAGGGGAAGTTCCAAGTCTTAGCAAATGCTGGACGTAACACTGTAAACAATCGAAGTTATGCTTGTACTGACCGAGCAAAAGACATGTCGCATTGAACTGATAGAACGAATATACTCACTACTAGTAACAGTACTTCGAAGTACTATGTCGTACGTACGGTATCACAGCGCTAACTAACGTTGTTGCACGTGCAATTTTGTAAACCCTCGAAAGCAAGCTTTAAGCCCGCCCAAATCAACTCCAACTATTCGATACAGTTTTGGGTTACCTTAACTTCCCTGTTGCTACTAGTAGTATTAATAGTACTACTAATAGTATAGGATTGAGATTACTATTAATAGTATTGATTAACTGTTGATAAAACATTTGTGAGAAAAAAGACTGCGCCGTCGGGGAATTGAACCCCGACCTTCTCCTTGGAAGGGAGAAATCCTAACCATTAGACTAACGGCGCTTTTATATTTCCAGTAATTGTTAAAATATTAGAAAACATCAATTGATTGCTTTAGTCGCACCAGCACTCACTCCACAACTCCTCATGTCCAGCGACGACGAGGACAATGTGGGAACGCCCGCCAACATCCTCGCGGACGAAGCCACTGACTCGTATGAGGTTCTTTACGAAGGCATGGTGAAGCGAAAGTCCGGCGGCGGCGGCGGGCGATCGCTGTACGGTTCACCCTTCGTAGGCTCAGTTCTCACGGCACCGTCCTTAGGAAATCGTGCCAGTTGCGCATTTACGCCGACGGTGTGCTCGTGGACATTGGTATGGAGCGGGAATACACGTTGTTGGACGTGACGGACTGGCAGATTGACCGCAAGAAGATCAAAGACGCAGCGCTCGCGGACGCCGGCCTTCGCGTCGACTGCCGCGGCAACGAAGACCGCGTCGTGACGTTGTGGCTCGTGCTCCCGTCCGAGCAGGAGCGGCACAAGTGGAAGGTCTACCTGCTCGCGGGGCTGCATCCCAACAGCAAGGAAGGGCAGCGAGTGAGGCGCATGGTGGCGCAGGTACTGTAGGGTCTACTAGGTAGTAGTCGGATCAACTAACTACATCAGCCCTGGTCAATCGATCTAATCGTTCGTATGCGTATACTTCACGTGTAGCAAAACCAACAAGACAAGGTAAGAACCAACTATATAACATTAGTATTGGTTGTCATGGCAACATATATATATATATATATATATTACTTTTGGACTGATGTCGACTATTATTTTCTGTAAATCGATGTTGGGAAATCTATTCTGTCACTATATTTTTCATGTTCAACTGGGTACATTATCCACCTTTGTACGATAAAAATTCCAATAAGCAATGTGAATTAACAGTAAAACTTAAATATTTAGACTAAAATGATACATATTAGATCCGCATCGCCGAGGTCGAACGCACCAGACAAGCGTTGGCCCACGCTCAGAGTACATATAAGGATTAACATATGAAGTACCATTGATTAACAAATGGAGGACAATTTAGAGCCACCAAAAAAGAAACCAATTGCCACCAAATCGACGCGGGTGTTAACCAGTGAATCGTCTTCCGATTGGCAGAAATACACGAGCGACGACGGCCAAGTGTATTATTACAACGCGGTAAGTGGTTCAAAAAATATTAATAAATAGTTTATATAAATATATATATATATATGAACGACCTTTACAATATACACGGTTCTATGCGCAGCTAGGACACAATACTAGATATATTTTGATTGAGCACATCCCCATTGTAGACTACGCAGGAAAGCCGATGGACGCTAGAGCCACCAACAACCACGCGACGACCTAGTAGGAGAGCTAGTACTCTGGAGACTACTAGTAGATCGAGAAGTCGTAAACCTCCTGTCAAGTCTACCAAGAAATCCCTGGACAACGCTCCGTCACCCATTTTGAGTGACGACGAGTTGTCTGAAGGCGGCAGTGAGGAAGCAAGTGCCGGGGTAGCTCGATTAGAAGAAAGCCCACCAGAGCTAGTAATACTAGACACCCCCACAGAAGAGGTATATATATATATCTATTGTCCTTTTCGCTGAAATTTGGCTTTGCCCGCTGATTCAAGAATCGATTTGTGTCAGGTTTTAAGCTGATTCAATGTATACTATACAAACTTAAATATGTACGTTTTGGTTGGGCCAAACTATGATGATCGTTCATTGGTTCATATTTCTTAATGGTGTAATTTGATTGGCAGGACATTCTAAAATGCATGAGCCGAATTCATTCGATTCTGCTGGGAAGTCCAAATTGGAATGGATTTGACGATATATATTATATATATATATATAAATCCACTAACTGGATCATCATCCAAAGCAGCATTTATTCAGTATATAATTGCCAGAGTCAACGTTGGAACTATACGGTTTTGTCTTGCATATCGATCATCTAGAATATATAATATTATATACCTATTCACTATTTAATATATATATATTTCACCTATTCCCTGTAGGAACAAAATGCTGCCACGACAAAGAAAGATGTCACAAGTGCGTTGGAGATGATGCTGGGAAGGTTAGTTGGTTGTATAACAACACTCCTATAGGATGGTTGGGCTTTATACATCGCTAGTACTACTAGTATATTACTGTTTTTTATGGCGTGGTATATATATACTAATATTTTTGCGACTAAACATATTATATAGAGGCCCCCCGTCGTCAAAATTAACCAAGTTGGAGAGTGTCAGCAACGAAGACACTTCAAAGTCTCCTGTGCACGACGAACCACCTGATGACCTGACATTAACGACCGCCGAGCGACTTCGGGTATATCTATGATTGGACTTATAAAGTTATACAAGGATTGGACTTATAAAGTTATACAAGGATTGGACTTATAAAGTTATGCAAGGATTGGGCTTATAAAGTTATACAAGGATTGGACTTATAAAGTTATTCAAGGATTGGACTTATAAAGTTATACAGAATGATTGGACTTTGAAATCAGTGTTGTCTGTATACAAGGACTGGACTTGTTATGCAATATGGTTTGGACTTGTGCCGTTAAATAAGATTGTGGAGTTATGTATTATAACTTTTGACGTTACTTAAGATTGTAGAGTTATATCTAGATTGGACTTCTGACGTTATACAAAGACTAGACTTATGGAGTTATCCTAATGCTCCATGACGTTCTTAGCTCAAGAGGCAGCAACGGCAGACTCAAATGTTCACAACTGACGACGTGGATGACACGGATATTTTTTTGCAAAAGTTGGCGGAAAAAGCAAAAAAAAAGGCCAACGATCCACTCAATTTGGACCAAAAACTCGAAACTGGCGATCCGTTTCAATTCCCCATGGACGAATGGCTCGATGTCGAGCAAGAGATCTTGTTGGCGCCTCCACCGGTATGTGATAAATCCTCCTTATTTCTATAAATATATATATATCCTGAACCATACTCTGAAAGGTGTCGTTGATATATCTTTGTGTATGTACCACACAGTACAAAACACTCTGAACGAAAAATCCTAGGGGGAAGGGGCTGCCGAGGTGCCGAATCCCGAAAATAAAAGCAAGAAAAAAAAGAAAAAAAAGTTATTGTCACCCCCGCTACCGCCTCCACTAGTAGACCACGATGTAGTAGCGCCGTTGGAACGCAGAAAGAGTAAGAAGAGTCGGCGAGTATTGGAGTTATCGTCTCAAGAGGTAGTAACTAACTACCTATGGAAATATAGAGACATATATCCCTATGTTGCATGTAGGACCAAGTCATGTCGGGGGCGGCACCACCGTCAGTAGTAGTACTACCAGTGAAGCCAACCTCGTCCCAGATGGAGGTTCTTTCTATCAAGAGCAGCAAGGTACTTTGTAACTAGTACCTGTTAGTACTTACTACGATAATGGAGATGTACTAACTACTGCGTCAACGTTTTTTATATTGCTTAGCAACGTAACGATCGAAAGGCAAAGAAGAAAAAGAACGCTGTACACGAAAGAAACTTGTTGAGCCAGTCATCGGTACCCTAACTTCGATTTGTATCGAATTCCATCTCTAGTCTATCGTATATATATATATATCGTATGTATACAATATTGATAGCTGGGGTCTATATATATATATATATATATAGACCCAAGCCATCAATATTGTCCCCTTAATTTTTAGACTTGTAGTGCTAATGATATTTGCCAATTCCATCGATCAATTGATTGATTGTTTGTACTGAATTTTGCGTGTAAAACGTTGTATGGTGGTGCTTGTAAACACCCTACTTTAAAGTCACACACTAATTAGACGTCGATGATTTTCTTGCAATCTGATTGGCCCAAAATTCTTCTGCCGTGTACCACACTATATCTACGACCAAAGCTATCAATATATATATGATTTCTCATAGTTATTATATAACTTTTTGATTACTAGGACGAAAACTCCGCACTCCTACCCGACCAACCTATGGCAACCCAAAGCAGCTCAGCTCCGTCTCTAAATGGCCTCAACTCTTCCTCGCCATTAGTGGACCATGTACGACCTACGCCTGTACGACCTACAACTGTACGACCTACGACAGTAGAATAACCCCGATTTCATATATATTGCTTTGTAGCCACTGTGGACAACGCACATAGCCCCCGATGGTCGCGAGTATTACTTCAACACACACACTCAAACCAGTGTTTGGGACAAACCCATCGAGTTTGTCCCAGATCTCCTCCCTGACCCTCCAGTTCAATCCTTGTCGACTGCTTTGGTGCCTGCGTATGTGACCAGCGAGCTCATTCCGCCACATGTGAAAATGGACACCAGAGTCTGCCCCCACTGCCACGTCACAGCCCCCACTCAACGGTATATACCCGAGTGTAGAGTAAAATATTGCAAGTGTTGTGTTTTTCACTCAAATTGGTCATTTTGGGGGTTATGGGTTTGAAATCGCCAACAACAAAGAAAGCAGTATGATTGGCTAAAAGAACGATGGTTGCAATATATATATATATTATATTGAAACATATGATTGTGAATGAATTTCTAGATGCGTCGAGTGCGAGTCTGTGTAAATAATATCATGCCATACTGGAGTTCTCGACTGTCAAGACTAATAATATATATAAACATATATTATTTTAAAATATATCTAGATGCGTCGAGTGCGAGTCTGTGTTTTGCGACGCTTGCTGTGCTAACCACCACCTTCGGTACGGGTCCATGTTCAACCACACGATGGCGTTGCTCTCTGGTACGTATTTTCCCATCTATTGTGTATAGCATTCTTTATCTTGCTAAATAAATAATTATTCATCTAATCCGCCTTATTCAAGTGCCGTTCTGCCACTCGTGCGAAGCGTCCAGCGCATCCCAGACGTGTGTGGACTGCCACGTCAACTTGTGTGACGCGTGCGCGTCATTTCTCCACCGCAAACCGCCCAAACATCTCCACAAACGTGTACCAGTTTACCTGTAAGTACTGTACCCATTCTTATTATTATTTATATTATTGCTTTCCGTTGAGCCAAAATATAGTTGGATTTGTATGCTGCTTTGCCAATCCATCGATTTATTTGTTATTTGTGTGTACTGAATTTTGGATGCAAAAGAGTCTCCCGGGGTGGTGGCGTGGATTACACCAATTTCGGTCATACACGAATTTGATAAATGGATATGATTTCGTACAATCTGATTGGCTAATATTTGTAATTATACTTGTGTACATTTGGTTGTTTGGCAATGGTATTCTATTACCCAAAATTCAAGTTTTCGACGCGTGTACGTACTCATCGCCAAATCGATCGATATGAATTATTTGTAAGAATTTTGTATGTAAAGAATTGTCCTGTAGTGATGCGGATCACACTAATTACAGTCATACACTAGTCCTCAATATATACAATATATGTGTCGCTTTAGCCAAAATTTGTATGTTGATTCGCCAACTCGATCGATCGATCGATTGTTTGTCCTGAATTTTGGATGTAAAAATTGACCAGTTTCACACTAATAAAAAGTCACACACTAATTCGATGTTGCATGCTTGAAGCGAGAATTTGATTGGCCACTTGACTTGTGTTCTCCGTTTGGATTGGTCGGTCGATTGCATGCATGCACCCCACACTTCCAATTTCGAATCGACTTTACCATATATATATATAAATAAATATATTTGATGCGAAGTTGTATTAGAACGACAACGACCCCAGAACGACTTATAAAGCCAAAAGAGTCCATTTCCCCTACTGCCACCACGCAACAGCATACGACTTCACTTGACCCCCCCATAATGTCCATCCCGCAACATGCGATACTGTACCAACCACCTGTGACAACGTTGGCAGTGGCGCCCCACTTGCCTCGATGTGCGACATGTGGAGGTTGGGGCGTCGACCTCATCCCGCCCACTCGCACGTACGAAATGTTGTACTATTAATATTGTCGATTGGATAGTACAAATGTGGGTGAAATCGAATCGCGCTGACCAAACCGATCCACAATCGATCTGATTGGTTGTTGAATTTCATGGAGAAGGTTTTGATTGGCTAATAATTTTGAGCTCATCTGAGGTAGCCAATCAAATCGATTTAAATTCCACCGAGAAACCACGAAATTTCACTCGAAATTTGCACAATACTGTAGGCGTTGAATGTTTAGCACTGTTTTTACCAGTTTCTTTATTTGCATCTATATGAGTAGTTTTGCTATATATCTATATACTATTGTGAATATTCGCTATCAACATCCAAAATCACGCTGGAGTTGTTCTGATTGGTTGAATATACTTTTCCTTTCTATAAGAGCCAAGAATCAAATCCACTCAAAATTGGAGTAGCCAATAGCGTCGATGATTCAGGATTCGGCGGCGAGATCTGTACCGAATCCACAATATATGTATATATTATATAGGATGGTTGTTTGAATATAATTTGAATTGGGTTTTCCATTATTTAGCAGTCAAATTGGACAGTTTTTATTAAAACACTTTGAATTAACTTTGTGTTTTGTATAGGGTATGCGACCACTGCGACCGCGTGACCAAGTTGTTTCAACCCATGACCAAGCTGGGCCATGTCGACTGGGATGCGTCGAGTAGTAGTAGTAGTAGTAGTAGTAGTACTAGTAGTAGTGGGTGGGAATAATAGCTATGTAACACGCGCACGAGTACTGTACGCCGAGTTCCTAGATACTAGTAGTACTAGTCCATAAAAATCATCACTCCAACACCAGTAACGAACTTGACGGAGCTTCTTGTTGTTGGGTCATACTACATACATATTCCACTGGAATGTACTAGGTACTAGTAGTAAGTAGTAGTATTACTACTATCCATAACGAACGACCCACTCAGCTAAAGCCAACACTAGTAGGTCCTAGTAGTTAGATTCATGTTGTAGTCGTACTATTAATAGTCCAATACAGTGCATCAGTCTAATAACACCAGCCACTCTGCCAAGCCAACGAACGCTACGGAGCTTGTTGTTGTTGGGTCATACTAGAACACACTACATATATATCGCACTGACATGTATGTACTAGGTACTAGTAGTAAGTAGTATTACTATCCATAACGATCACTCCAACACTAGTACGTACTACTTACTAGTAGTATGTATGGAGTCGTACTAGTGTCAATACAGTCTAACACCAGCGACTCTGCCAAGCCAACTAACTTTTGCCTATGAATACATCAACGTGGTGATCGAATAAAACTAGTATTAAATCAAGCCAAATTCATCGAAATCGAGCTCATCCGTGAGTGATTTCATGAGGAATTCATCGTACTGGCCGGGCGGAGCTTCGTGAAGGGGCTGATTATGCAAATTTTGAAACATTGGGGCGGGCGGCGGCGGTTGGAGGTGCATCGCGGGCGGGTAGTGCGCCGTGTACCCGTCCGTCTTGAGCATCTATTATACACATCACGTGAATAATAAATGACCACAATAATGATTTATTCGAATATATATATATATATATAAACACGAGTAACACAGAGGATGGATGGACTTGTTGAATCCATACATTTTCTACTTTTATGACAAAAAACTGGCATATTGTATGTACTGTACTATATACATACATACATATAGTGTTGGTTTAGCAGCATCATATGATGTTGTGGTCCATTTTAACATGTAAATATATATATTTACCACGTGTACAAAACATATCAATCTCCAAATATTATATTTTCAAACATCGACAGACCACACAAAATCACACCATACAAACACGTAGTATTAGACTCTCAATGGTACTTACCATATCGTTGGTCGAGTAGCCAACTCCACCACCACTGCCGATAAATGGAGTATTCAACAGGGCTGTATGGGAGCCGTTAAAGTCCGAGTAGTCGGCTGCCCAGTTGGCCATCATCGGGTCCTGCTGCCGCCCAAGGCCGAGAAGGTTACTATTACCAAGCTGTAGCTGGTTCTGTAGCTGCTGGTTTTGTAGCTGTTGGTTCTGTTGTTGGTGATGGTGATGATGCAGTTGGTGGTGGCCGACCACCCCCCCTGTATGCGACGACGTTTGACTGTGTCGCTGGTCCATCAAATTGTGGCCATAGGTCGGTTGATGAAGTTGTTGCTGGTGGTGATGGTGGTGCTGTAGGTGGCTGAGTCGGCGGCTTTGCGCGTTGGCGGCCGCGGCCCGCGTCGGGTTTTGCTTGAGCGATTTCCACCGAATTTTCACAGAGTCTTCTGTGCGCCCCGGCAGCATCTGCGCGATCTGCGACCATTTGTTGCCCAGGCGGGCCTGGTGGGATAGGATTACATTATCCTCTTCTTCCGCATATGGCCCCTTGTTAATAGACGGGTCCAGATGGTTGCGCCATCGCTCTCGGCATTGCTTGGGGGTGCGCCCCGGGATTTGCTCGGCGATTTGGCCCCAGTTGTTGGTGCTCTGCTTGACCAGTTCTTCGAGGATCTTGTCCTCTTCAAAGGACCAGTGCCCTTTGACCAACCCCGGCTTTAATACCTTGCGCCAACGTTGCAAGCACTACGCGTGATGTGTCGATATATGTATATATATATATATATACATAGACGGTAGGAGAATAGATACAAGTACAACGCATATATATATATATAGACGGTGGAAGAACAGATACAAGGACAACACGTACGATCTGTGGATGGTTTGAAGCAATACATAGCATAGAGGATAAAGAAAAGAGTACCAGATGGAATGAGAAACAAAGTGAGACGTCGATATATAATATTTATATATATATATATATATATATATACCTAAAAGTCAACACCACAGCATTCGAGATTCGAATATATATATATATACCTGGGCATGGTTTCGACCAGGCACACGCTCGGCAATGGCCTTCCAGTTCTTCTCGCCGTGGACACGGACGCTGTCCTTGAGCGCGGCGTCCTGTGCCTTAGTCCATCGCTTCGTGGACGGCGCGTCTTCTTCGCTCGGGTCCGCCTGTCTCACGCCATGTTGAAATAGGGCCATGGTTTGAAAATGGTATTGAAAGGACGGGTACCTCGGTGTTGGCGTCGGCATCGGGGGAGTTTTCGGCTTCGACTTCGTCGTCGTCGTCGTCGGGGTCTTCGTCCGAGGACCCGTCTTCCTTGGCGCGTTGGGCGGGGGTCGCGTCGCCCTTGAGCAGTTCCCAGTTGCTGTTGGGGCGTTCGCGCTTGCTAAGACACACTCATCGCCATGAGAATCGACAGGATAACGACGGCCACGTGTATATATATGGAGGGAGGGACGGACGATGGATAGGTATTTATACTTACTTGATCAAGGCTTCTGCCTTGATATTCCCGACGGCACTACTCGCAGCCGACGACCCGACGTCCTCTTTTTCTTCTTCGAGTCGCTGCAGCCGCAGTTCCGACTCGCCAATGTGCGCGTTGTCGAGCATGTGTCCCATGGACTTGATATCGTCCGTCGTGACATTCTTCATGGACGATTGCCGAGACCCTGATCGTTCCAATCGTGCTCTACATTGCGTCGGTTCCATGAGCACGCATCTCCCATCATATACGGCGGTACCGCGGGTCGACAGTCACTCCGTTGGCGGCTTGTTTCGCCTTCAAGCGCTCAAATCGATCACGAAGCGACAAGATGTACCGCTTCTTGGCAGACACGGGCGCGTCCATCAGTGCCTGAATCACGCGGAACTTCTTCTCGTCCTTAAGCTCTAAAAGGTACATGGACAGCAAGTTGCTTTCTTCCGCCGTCAACCCGGACAAACATCGGAGGAACGACCCCGATGCTTCCGACGGCAACGAGCAAATCAACGCATTGAACACATCCCCAAAACTTCCCTCTGGCGTGGCGGAATCGGCGGCGGCCATACGTACTTTCGCCTCTCCCTCTTTTGGAAAATGGCTTTTGCCGACCGGCTGACGTGGACTATCCGGACAAATAAACATATCCGGATAAACGTGTTCCCTGGACGTTTGAAACGCCCTTGACTCGTTTTCAAAACCTGTAGCGGACGCTCCACGATATCGTAAACACACATCAACGCGATACATATGTAGTAGTACTTCGTGTACATATATCCCCAGACGTACTTAGACACATGTACACAATCCTACTGTGGCGATGCTTGTCCGTTGTCAGTATACTAACTTGTTAGTATGGAATGGTGGGACCGTCGAAAGTATACGGTACACTGTACGAGGTTGTGGTGTTGTGGGGGGGGTTCCGAACGTTTGATTCGCGCTCGAATCACCACCAAGGATCGTTTGGAACGTTTGGAGGCAGAACGAGGCGTGTCACCGTTGCGTTCTTATTAGTTGCCACACTCACTCGCCCTTTCTAGTAGTACTAGTATTAACTAGTATTAGTACTAATAAGTTTCGTACTACATACTATTAATAGTATGGCTTGACCAGTTCTTTGTGGGAAGGAGGGATTACGTATGTATATATTATATATATACATACATATCGCATCTCCTGGTTTGGAGCTTGCTACATGGATGACTGAACCCCCAACCAAGCAATGAGTCAGCTTTTTTGGTTGGTTCAGTCATCCATGTAACAAGCGTGTACATTTGCACTGAACCAACCAACCTATGAGTGAGCTTTTTTGGTTGGTTCAGTGCAAATGGAATTATTTTACAAGAACTTTAAATGGTCGATCCAGTCACAGTCGTACAGTAAGTACATAGTTATGTACTACATACCGAATCCACCATCATCAACTGGTTGTCGAAACCACCAGTGGTTAAATTGACACTGATACACTATGCTATGAATAACAGCGTTTGTTTGAAGCAGGCTTGGTGTTAACAGTGAACAGAACAAATGGAAACTGTTGTAACGTTGTCAATGACCAGTTACAGTCACAGCATTTTTTGTTTCTGTACACTGTATCAGTATGCGAAAAAACTCGACAGTATCCGGCAATAACCCCTTTAAATACGTTTAGATATAGGTTTATAAAGGTATATTGAAGTAATCTTATGTGAGATATGACTGCGGGCTAAACGAGTGAGAGGTGTAGCTGTCTGTATATCTGAGGAAATGCTTGTATCGGTACCGAACAGTGTTCCTTTGACAGATTCCAACAGAAGGTACTGTATATAAGCGTAGCTCTGCCGCCTAGTTACAGTGTTCTAAACCCGAAACTTCATACCTGGGTTGCTGCTAAGCAACGATCGGGGCAAAACCGACTCATCATAGCGCGTTACAAACAGGTTGTTATGTCCCAGAGTAGCTAAGGTTTTCAAGCTGATCTGACAGAAAAAGGAGAGCAGTCTCAATACTAGTATCAAAGAGACCTTGCCACTAGTTATGTAGTGTACTATTAATAGGAGTACGTTCTAGAAGACCGTATTACTCCATATATGTTAGTATCAATGAAAATACCTCTCTAATCACATGTGAGAGTATTATTAGGACGTTGCTGAAACCTAATATCAGTCGAGTTTCACTTGGCTCTGGATGCCACAAGTGATATTTCGCCGGAGAACTTTCTGACAACTTTTCCATTTTGCTCCCAGTTCTAAAAGTCGCCCTGTACACGTATATACCAGTAAATAGTGGCACGATAGGTTCGTCGTGAAAGGTCTGGATGCCTCGAATTTTTTCTGAAAATTCCAAGAATATCTCAAATGTAGAGCCAGATGACAAATGTCTGGAAAAATACGCCAAATCGGCGGCCTACTCCAGAGTACAAATGTATGTTATTTCGGTTATAATTTGGGCAAATCACCCGAAATCAGACACAGGTTTTCTTAACAATTCCTTTTGTGAGACCTTCAAACTTTTCCCTCGGAATATGGCCGTTAACGTTATCTGACATCCACACACCAGTCAGCCCCTGGTACACTTTTCCACGTTTATATATGAACACGAGCATTCACGAACTGAATCTTCAAGGAAATGAAATTTCGAAGGTTCCCTTCACTTTCATTGTGCTTTGTATGGCAATATGTCAAATATAATATGTTACGAGTACATCATATATTAAAGGTAAAGTGAACTTGGTGGATCACGGCTCATACGGCAACTTTGACGCCCCCATGTGCTGCAAGAACGATCGTTTCTGTGCAAGTTCCTGCGCTTGCAATCGTTCCTCCAACTGTTGGTTATACCTACCCCAAATGCCGGTTAACTTCCGGATAAAAATTGGTCCAGTGGTTCTTACTTTTCCAACTCCTTCAGTCGTACGCACACTTCGCGGGCCTAGCGTTCAACCACAGAAATTTAAAGAGGTGTAAACTCGACAACGATAAATAAAAGAAATAGTATACATTTAGAGCGTGATAATACAACCATACCTCGGCTAATTGCATGGACAATTCACTCAAACGGACATGCGATGCGACTTCTTGGCGTTCTCTATCCGTCCGCAACCGTTCGTTTTCCGCCTCCACTTGGCCAATCAAACGGTCCGACAGCCGACATTGCCCTAATCGAAACGTTTCAAACACGGATCCCATCCAAAGTGTCTCCATGCCTTGAAGTTGCTCGACAAGTTTGTCCTGGCGGTCCCCGTGTTCTAAGCCGCGCTTCAATTCCTAGATAGATAATTCATTTATGTATTCATTCATTCACGAATAATTGGTGTTTGTGCCTGGTTTTCAGCTTGAAGCCGCTTGAATTGCTGCAACTTTTGGCGGCTTTCCTCCAGCAATTGCATCATCTTTTGCCGTTCTGCAAACAGTTGCTCCAGTTGACGGCAACGGGTTGCTTGATCGGTGAGCAATTCACGTAATTGCTGGTCTCGCTATACAATCACTATTGATCAAAATATCCATATATTCGAAATATATATATATACGATTGATACCTCTGCTAGTCGAGTTTGTAGATGGCGAGTCTTAATTACTGTCACTTGAAACAGAACATGTTGGGTCCAGCGGTGAAGTGCTCGACGAAGCCTTGTGATATACATGCCTAATGTCGCCCAATCGCGAAAAATAAATGTATTTCTGACGATAAATATATATTTCAGCGACTCCTCAAAGTATATATTATGCTTACTCAACGTTAGTCGCCGCAACAATCGCCGTTGAGTCTTGGAATCAATCAGACGACTTGTCCACACCTGCCACATGGCACACACAAGTCCTCGATTTGTCTATTCCAAACATATATACATATATTCGTGAATTGTGGAAAATATCATATATATATATATATATGTATAATATTAGAACCTCGTGGTTCTTTGCCGCGCTCACAAACAGTTGTCTCCACTTTTGCCACAACGTATGCTTTTCCTATACAACTCTTGTTTATAAAATATCGTAAATTGACTCTATCGCGAACGTGTTGGTAATATCGGTCTTGGAGTTGCTGGAATTGCTTGGCAAGTTGCTGGCGAACGCGAGCTTTGGCAGCCCATAGTCTCCACACATTCAAGAGGCAAGTTGTCGTGGACTGGAGCACCCATCTCGCCCCAACCCTGCGCAATTGTATACGCAGGTGTACTTTATGGCGCCACGATTGAAACGCATGGGCTCTAACGTGCATACAGTTGAACTATTAATATAATATATATATACCTTTGGTTTCAAGCGATTTTCAATCTATATACATATATACAGTAGTTTGAAGCGATTTGCAATACTGTATACATACCGGTTTAACTATTACAATATATAATATAACTTTGTTTTCAAGTGATTTTCAATATATATATATAGTTTCAAGCAATTTGCAATATATATTTTGCAAATTGATTGAAACCAAAGTATATATACCTAATTCCTAAAAGCCACACGAAATATAAATCTTACTGTATCGAGTGCAGTGCGGCTGCAAACAACCGACAGCTGGCCGCGTACCGCTCGGCCCATGCTTTCCAATGCATAAACGACCTACCAAAATAAATAAGCCAATATACATTAAATGAAATAAATTGAAAAAAAAACACTACCGAACAAGGTTGCCTGTGTGCAGCGTCGCGACCACTCGTTGCAACACACAACAAGACGCTCGACGCTGATTGGCGGATACGCGCCACGTCTACGTAATTTTAGCCAATCGTTTCGCCGGAACTAACTCACTTGAAACCACCGCCGACACAAATGCCGATCCGAATGGCGTTGGAGTTGGTGGGTCACGGCCGCCAGTAACTTTTGCATCGACGCTCCTATAATTATGAAAATATGTCATATAATAGATCACATTTTGTTATTTTATTGGTCGCTTTTTGTTAAGCAAGTGGTCACATATTGTGAATTGTACCGGATTCAACGAGAACTTGCTTTCGAGCCACCACCGTGGTGTGTTTCCACCTGTAAAATAGTATAATATGACGAGACAGAAGTTATATGTATATATAATTAGAAACCTTCATGTGGCAAGATTGAAAATAATATCTCATCCGATGCGATATATATAAATACCGTTGAAACGTGGATTGTCGAAGCAATCTATGGCTGTGATGGCCCCATATCCGCTGCATCGACCCCTATATCCAAGTATATTAATAATATTCTAAACAATTGTTTCTTTACCTCGGTCACTTGAACGTAACGCTGGCTTTTCCACGTCACAAAGCAGTGTCGCGTGACCAGCCAGTGCAATGTCCGACGCGTTAGGTTCATATTGGCCCCCCAGGGCACGCCCAAGTGCGTCAGACGCTGCCTTCGCTGGTCGTGCAGTCGTCCTATACGTTCCAATTCAGCTAAAAATCGACGAAAATAACCAATCATTTTGTAATAAATCGACCGAAAATGTCCAAAAAAGTACATAATCGCGTGAAAAGACAGCAAGTGCTTACGTTTCCACTGTTGAAACCAATAAGCACACCGTTGTCGAGTGATTTTAATTGGATCTAGCACGTCGGAATGGTGTAAATACAGGCGCCAGGCCAACCAGACGCGACGTTTGATGGGTTTATTAACCAATCGCAGTCGAGCCCACCGTTGGAACAACCGTTGCAGCTACATATATCACGTTTATTGTTATATGTTTTCCCCATTGAATTTGGTTTCTTTCTTGCGTACAAATTCAAACTCGCGACATTTCAAGTCCTGAATCATCTCCATCTGTTCCAAAGCCTTGGAATGATGATACCGACGCCACTGCACCCAGGTGCCCCATAAAACCATGTGCTTGCGATGGACTTCGTCTTGTTTTAGGTGCAGTGTGACGCTCCGAAGGTGATGAAACGCCCGCCGAATGCGTGTTAGTATCGCCAGTTGCCACAGTCTACATATATACATACGCACACGTTCATGCCCACGTATTACTAAAAACATAACGAAATATCCACCCATTATGGTGCAATATCATTAAATGAGGCCAGAAAAGAGGATATTTTTTATATATTATTTGGGATTTTAACTCACCGAATGATTGCTTTGACGCCATAGACGCGACCGGCAGCACATTCAACACGAGCAACATGGGCTTGATATGTCGCCTCCACACACTAGAACGAATATATATATTTCGTTTGATAAATATATATATATAAATATATATTGATGACACAATGGAATATATATACATACTAGTATACAGTTTAACCCTATAGGACGGGAAGTCATAATATGCATGTATTGATAATGGAATATAAATATATAGTTTGATAAATAAATATATATATTGATACCATATCGTATTCAAAGGAGTGGATAGTATAAAACACACAAATATATATATCATAGCAAAGGCCGTACATGACTTCGCAGCTGATAAAACCCTTGACGCAGCGAACTCAATTGCATTCGCCTCAACACGGCTGTGATTGTCGTCTGGGTCGTCTAGACAAACGTTAAATTCGCTGCGTTCATGTATTAATATATATATTTATGTCGATAATATATATATATATATATTGAGCACGAGAAATCAAACAGTTTTCATCCTACCTTGTACGACATCGTCGCATGCAACCAAACCGTCCACGCTTTCCTCACTTGGCTGGTGCCATACCTCGTACATGACGATGTGAAGCGCTGAATGGCCCTGCGGAGTTTGCGATAGCAATGCATGTGGCTCTGCAACTACGGGAGCAATTTCCAGTTAATCGCCATCTACTTACACTAGGGAATATCTATTGGAGGAGGTGAACAGTACTCGAAGAAACACACGTAACGCGGTCGTGCGATGCCACCCTACAAAACCGAGTTCGGGTTCCTTAATCCATATACTAGTAGTTAGTTGATAAGACTGAGTTTTAGTTGATAAGACTGGATTTTAGTTGTTAAGTCTGGGTGTTAGAGCTGCACCTATCATCGTCACGCGAGCCAACACCCGCTGCACGTGAACCTGTCGGCGATACAGTGTCCACCGACGCATGCAATTGCGAACCCGATAGAACTAGTATATTCAACAACGTTATGTAGACTTCGACAATCAAAATGACCTCAATCTAGTCGATTACCCACCTGCAACTCCACTTTGTTTTGAGCGGAGAGTGCATGGGTTTGTTTTTTCATATGCACCCACTCGCGCCACCGCTATGCGATGTTGTTATAACTACTTGGTTACTAGTTCGTGGGTGTAATAATTTAGTATGTACTGTACATATAAACGTAGCCGTTCTTTCCACTCCCACAGCCGCTGACGTAACCTCTCAACTCCCAACGTCACCTTCGTCGTCATGTGATAATCTGGATGTTTGTACGAAGCAAGTACCTGTCGCCAGCGTCGAAATCTCGCTCGATGGTGTCGCACCAGGCGTTTCCAATGTACTAGAACAGGCATTACAAGTCAGACCCGACACCATCGACCCAACTAGACTTTTCAACCGTGATAAACGATAACAAGCTACGTGACATAGAGTTATGTACCATAACTCAACGCAGGTACTAGTACAATTCGAATGATCTTATACTCTCATGACACCAATAATGTAGAATATTATAGCAATATATCTTAGAATACTAGTAACAGTTTAACGTACACTGCACAAGCCGCTGGCCTTTGAATTCGATCACGTCGATAGCTGCCCTTGCTACAACAATCATAGTATTGTCTATCATCCATACTAGTATTACATACATACATCCCTTTGTATGGTACTCAAGCTAACATTAGTTCTTTTGAAGAGCATGCGATACAGTACCTCGATCTTGGCCCGCTGGTTGGGATGTTGTGACAATCCATTCCAAGTACGCTGGAGCGTGTTCCATGATGCGCGCGTACTGTGTCACATGCTGCTTCCACCGGCAAAACCTCGTCGCCAACACTCGGAACCGGTGCATGCGATAGAGTCGCCGACACGCCGCGTCCACCTGTCCACACACTCGGCTTTGAAGCACCCACACCGCGACCTTTCTATCCATATATGACCTCGTGTGAAAGGAGGTACTGCGACATAAACGTACTGCAACCGCGTCGAGAGTTCGCGTTCGTGGCTAGCCATGGCATTGAGCTGCAGGTTGCAAGTCCACCGGGCTAGCGCACGACGAAGCTGGTGCCGCAAGTAGTGCTGGTGGATGTACACCAACGGCGTCAGCTTGAGCCGCATGTAGTACTTGATCTCGGGAAGCATGTCCCTGTACTTGGCATAGTAAAAGTGCTTGTCGCGCGGCATCATCACGAGGATGGCGTCGTCCGAGCACCTGACTGCAGAGTGAAACGGTCGACGAACATTAATCGGTTTGGTTTCAACTGTTTGAATCAAACACAAGTCCGGAATTGACCCCAAATCGACCCCTAATACAGTAATACCCCAAAAAAACCCAAATATCTCCATTATAAACCCGATTACCCCTTATAAACTTGGTATTTTTTGCGTTGTCAGGTACTAGTTACTACTAATTATTTAAATGGATTTCAAATATCCGTGATATCCAAACGTCATCCAACATTAATATTAGGTCATATCCTAATTATTAGAGATGAGAGTAAATTAGGATAATCCTAGGTCATTGCATACAGGCCTCGTCCGGGAGCGGCACGGCCTACAGCCTACCTGCCGCTGCCCGACAAGAAGAAAAGATAGATCATTCGGTGAAGTGAGAAGCTTAGATCTGCGCTCTTTTGTGACCGCGCCTGCGCAGACGTTCAGAGTGCCAGCTTGGTGTAGTTCAATTAGTGTGAGTACAGTCATCACAGGATATCAGTTTACTTACAAAATTCAGTACAACGAATCGATCGATGGATTTGGCGAATCAAAAGTTTATCACAAAAGACTGGTGCTTGATTATGCATTGGCATGTTGCGATACATCGTCGGTTGTGGTGGTTCCACGAGATATCACGTTGTCGCTAGTGCCACCTCGACATTTGATTCACTGTCAGCAACTTTGTCCAATACTACCGGTAGTACAAGTATGTATGGTTACTTACCGTAGTTAGCAATGAAACGTAACTATATTAAAGCAGTCGAGCCTTCATCATGGGGTATTTTTCTCGTAATAACGAATGGACTGGCGATAGAAAATATTGATCATATTCATTGCTAGCTTTGCAATGAAGCTAAAATAACGACTCCAGTGCTTAGTGTGAAGTGTTACTTATTGATATTAAGAGTGCTATTAATAGTTGTACAAGTTAGTTGGAATAGAAAGATACTTCGAAGTACCAATTATAGCACCATTCTCAAATATTTTTATTGGGTTGTTAACTTTATCCTTATGTTCAGAGTGCCAGCTTGGTGTAGTGGTTATCACATCTCGTTTACACCGAGTAGGTCGCCGGTTCAATCCCGGCAGTTGGTACTTCTTTTTTCACCTTTTTCACTGGAATTACCACCTCTTGTGTACCACACCTTACCACGCTCTATCACTACACTTCATTATGGTACAAGTGAACGGGAAAGTCACGTGTTACTTCGTAGTATTAAGTACTTCGTAGTATTAAGTAGTACTACTTGTACTACGTGGTACTTCGTAGTATTAAGTAAGTACTTCGTAATACTAGTACTACTTAATACTAGTACTACTACTTAATACTAGTACTACGTACTAGTCTCGAATTTCGTTCAGACAGCGTGACTTCCTCGTTGTACCATAATGAAGTGTAGTGATAGAGCGTGGTAAGGTGTGGTACACAAGAGGTGGTAATTCCAGTGAAAAAGGTGAAAAAAGAAGTACCAACTGCCGGGATTGAACCGGCGACCTACTCGGTGTAAACGAGATGTGATAACCACTACACCAAGCTGGCACTCTGAACATAAGGATAAAGTTAACAACCCAATAAAAATATTTGAGAATGGTGCTATAATTGGTACTTCGAAGTATCTTTCTATTCCAACTAACTTGTACAACTATTAATAGCACTCTTAATATCAATAAGTAACACTTCACACTAAGCACTGGAGTCGTTATTTTAGCTTCATTGCAAAGCTAGCAATGAATATGATCAATATTTTCTATCGCCAGTCCATTCGTTATTACGAGAAAAATACCCCATGATGAAGGCTCGACTGCTTTAATATAGTTACGTTTCATTGCTAACTACGGTAAGTAACCATACATACTTGTACTACCGGTAGTATTGGACAAAGTTGCTGACAGTGAATCAAATGTCGAGGTGGCACTAGCGACAACGTGATATCTCGTGGAACCACCACAACCGACGATGTATCGCAACATGCCAATGCATAATCAAGCACCAGTCTTTTGTGATAAACTTTTGATTCGCCAAATCCATCGATCGATTCGTTGTACTGAATTTTGTAAGTAAACTGATATCCTGTGATGACTGTACTCACACTAATTGAAGTACGTCACACACTAATTCGTATAACACTGGCACATATTTGCATGTAACGTCGGCTTATTACTACAGTACTACCAAAATGGGCACCATCCGATATAGCACTGGCACAGATTTTCATGCGACGCTGCTTGCGTAATCAACCGCTGGACTTGGGCCGCCACATTCAGGGGCTCCGAGTCGTCGTCAAAAAAGTCGCGCCCCGTGAGCTTGGACTGCACGCGCCTAGTAACTGCGACCGCCTTCTCATTAAGAGCTTCCCTCGGCGCCCCGGCTCCCTCGGGGCCCAGCGCATTCACGAGCTCCCGTTCGCGATGGCTTCGTCGTAATTCCAAATCCCTGCCAAAACACATATATCAGGAACCTGCCAAAACACATGATAACGACCTACTTGTACGTTCAAAGAAACAAACACACATACGACACTGAGCCCATCCTTTCGAGTATGGTCATTTTTACATGCCTTTTAATATATATATGTATATACTTTGCAGTCCAGACAATATTATGTTTTTAATAGGTTCTTTAGCTTGAATGGGTTTCCCTTTTTTAACAGGTTTATATTTCAAAGATGTTATTTTAGAAATAGCTTATGCAAGGTTTAATGAAATAGGACTTTTTGCTTATTGGTTAGGTACTATAGATAGGCAAGATGTTTATAGTACGCCCAGCCACTCATCATATGAACGAATAGACATGTATATATGTACTCGAGTCCAGATAGTGTTGGCAATATATTTATAGAATGCCCAGCCATTCATAATATCAAACGTGTATATATAATAATATATATATATAATACTTTGAGTTGGCAAGATATTTATAGAATTCATTATACAAAGCAAAATAAAATGCTCAGACAAGAGGTCGTACACTTGAGATGACGAAACCGACGGGTTTCCGTGGACATCGACGGCTGCAGACGCCGCGATGCTTCGGCTTACGCCGATGCTTGCGGCCAACTGGGACATTTCCATGTGGATGCTGGTAGTACTAGTAGTAGTACTAGTAGTACTAGTAGTAGCATCGTTTTGCTGCATCATGGCCAGACTGGCCATGGCCATACTCGGCCGACGGTCCCGCATTTCCTACACGGCCATACATGGTGTTTATTCAACCAGCAAATACAAAAATACTATAAAAATCAAAGAATAGAAACATACAAGAATAGAAAAATCATTATATTTTTAAATATAAACCAACCCGGCGCGGGGGAGCGTCGTCCGTCGGGTGGTTGTTGTCGTGCAAGCGGGGCGGCGACACGTTGGGTGCGAGCTATCCAAACATGTTTCAAACATGTTTCAAACGTTTTAAACGTGTTTCAAACACGTACCAAACGCCAACAGATCAGCGGATCGTGCACAAATGCTTCGAGCATAGCCATGAGCGAGTGCTGGTTGTCGCGCAGGACTTGCATCACGGCTTCGCACGAGAACCGAAAGTTGCCTTCGATGCCGCTTACCTATTAAAAACACGTAAAAAACGTTTGTTTCCAAAAAATACCAAACAAATGGACATGGAAACGTAAAAAATAATAAAATATATTCGTATATATGACATGAAATCGTGTATGAAAACACTGGATAATCGTTGAAAATAGCCAATAATCAAAATGCCGAATATATACCAATCAATCCACACGGAAATCATATATCATGCTTTCGAGTGAAATTTCGTGTTGTGGCTTGGTATCTCGTTGGAATTTATATCGATTTGATTGGCTACCTCAGATGAGCTCAAAATTATTAGCCAATCAAAACCTTCTCAATGAAATTCAACCAATCAGATCGATTTTGGATCGGTTTGGTCGGCGCGATTCGATTGCACCCCCTCCCCAAATTTGTATCAAATCGACAATAGGTGCATGACATTAAATAGTGTTACTCATTCATGATTGAACACTGGATTGTATACAAACTGCAAGTCTGAGCATCGATAGATTGGGAGTGGGGTGCTCAAAGCACGAGCACAACCAAATGATCAATCAATCGATCGACCACTCATAAACCACAATATTCGAAGTGGCTTATTCCTCATTGAATTAGTGTGTGACTTCAATTAGTGTGCTACTGGACGATTGTTTCATCCAAAAAAGATCAGTTCAACCAATCAATCGATCGAGGGCTTTTGTGATATATTATAGCACGAAAACATCTCCAACTTTTGGCGGAAAGCACAACACAACTCTACTCGTCCGAGATGCCAATATATATATATGAATAATATATATATCTACGTACTTCCATGGCATTGGTGAGCATTCGTGTCAGTCGAAAGGGGATTTTCTCCGGGTACTTTTCACGGTGCATCGCCACTTCAAAGCAATCGCCAAAATCAATATGAACAATCGTGCCCGTGAACCGATGGAGCATCAAGTTTGACGGGTGGCGGTCCCCCAGGCCCAATATGTACCCCACCTACACCAACCCCAAATAACCTCCACAAACGAATATAATATCTTGAACGAACCATCGACATGGCAGCCAATGACCGCGTGTAGTTGGTGCGCCGATCGAGCCAAATCTCCGAGTTTTCAGACTTGAGCCACAACACCTAGCCGACGTGATCATCAGAATAGACGATTCATCTATTATCCATCCACAATATATATATATATATATGCTCAAAATTATTAGCCAATCAAAACCTTCTCAATGAAATTCAACCAATCAGATCGATTTTGGATCGGTTTGGTCGGCGCGATTCGATTGCACCCCCTCCCCAAATTTGTATCAAATCGACAATAGGTGCATGACATTAAATAGTGTTACTCATTCATGATTGAACACTGGATTGTATACAAACTGCAAGTCTGAGCATCGATAGATTGGGAGTGGGGTGCTCAAAGCACGAGCACAACCAAATGATCAATCAATCGATCGACCACTCATAAACCACAATATTCGAAGTGGCTTATTCCTCATTGAATTAGTGTGTGACTTCAATTAGTGTGCTACTGGACGATTGTTTCATCCAAAAAAGATCAGTTCAACCAATCAATCGATCGAGGGCTTTTGTGATATATTATAGCACGAAAACATCTCCAACTTTTGGCGGAAAGCACAACACAACTCTACTCGTCCGAGATGCCAATATATATATATGAATAATATATATATCTACGTACTTCCATGGCATTGGTGAGCATTCGTGTCAGTCGAAAGGGGATTTTCTCCGGGTACTTTTCACGGTGCATCGCCACTTCAAAGCAATCGCCAAAATCAATATGAACAATCGTGCCCGTGAACCGATGGAGCATCAAGTTTGACGGGTGGCGGTCCCCCAGGCCCAATATGTACCCCACCTACACCAACCCCAAATAACCTCCACAAACGAATATAATATCTTGAACGAACCATCGACATGGCAGCCAATGACCGCGTGTAGTTGGTGCGCCGATCGAGCCAAATCTCCGAGTTTTCAGACTTGAGCCACAACACCTAGCCGACGTGATCATCAGAATAGACGATTCATCTATTATCCATCCACAATATATATATATATATATATATATATATATATATATATCGTGGATTGGCGACGCCTTGTGGGATTGGGGATATATATATATACCCCATTCGTTTTCGCAACATCAATCAGCTGTACAGCATAGATACAACGTTCCACAAAGAGAAGATATGTACGTCGTACAATATATATACATATATATACACGACAGATCCAAGGAACAAAATAGATGAGACAATCAAGATAGATAATTATATCTTTACTAGCTCAATCATAAGTACCTTGTACAAGTCTTGGCCAGCGGTGTTTTCCAGTGCATATTCAAACACTTCTACTTTTTGCATCAAGCTGAGCACGTCGTAGTCTGGCGCCATTTGCAGCATGAGTCTACATCATCCATCCACCACGATTTCCAAATTAGATGAATTCATCATCTATACATCCATCATCTATTTCCGCATTTTTTTCATTTAAAACACAACCATATATATATATACATATATGGTTATTTTAATTTGGAAATTGTGGTGGAGGGATGATGATATATATATATATATATCATCATCCATCCACCACGATTTCCAAATTAGATGAATCCGTCATCTATAAATATATCATCTATTTCCGCATTTTTTTCATTTAAAATACGGAATATATATATATATATATATACGCACCGGTGTTCAATGTTGAGCAGGATCTTTCGAGCTTCACGGTAGTCTCGAATGAGTTGGTGCAACGTATCGCAGTTTGGCACCCATCCGACGATGCCAGCGTTGTGACTCAGGGGAATCACGGGGTATCTCGTGATTTTCAAGTCTTTTTTCGACGTGGTTCTGTCGTTGATAAGTAGGGCGTTCACGAGGCCAAATAGCTGAGTCACCCGTTCATCTTGGCGCAAATCTTCGTGTCCTTTGAGTAAAAACATGTACTCCAACCCGTTGGATCCGTGGATAGTGATGCGTCTATACTATATGAGTGAGGGGTTGAGAGCGAGTGATATATATATATATATGTGATGAAATAGATGATATATAGATTAAATAAGGTGGAATAGGTACCGAGGACGCTGTTTCGATGTCATTACGAGCATCGTGGGCACAAACGATCCGATTTTGATGATGTCGTGGCCAGCTCGATACGTTCCTACAATGATAGAGACAAGATATAGTTAAATATATATATATATATATATATAGATATGAAATGATATATATAGTTAGTTGGATCTATGTTTGAAAGGAAAAAGGTATTTTGGCACATACAGTCGGAATGAAAATGATAGATTTGGACATGCATTTCTTTGGAACGAAACGATATATATAAATACTTGGTATTAAAATATATATATATATATATTTGGACATGCATTCGGATATATATATATAGTCGATACGATCCTTTGAAGTACGAATACAACACAATAAGTAGGTATTATCTACTCACCCGTCGCAAGCAGAATAAAGTACAACATGTACATGGAGAACTTCCCAAATCATCATTCACAATAAATAATAAATATTTGTATCCTACGACAATATACACAAGATATATCATCCCATAGGACTCGTAACTAACTACGAAACAACTAACTAAAGACCAACTAACGACGGTACCTGGCACGGCGAGCTGTAGGTTGCGCGCTTGGAGTAAGTTGGGGCTGACATATTGCAACTCGAGCGTCGTAAGTTGGGGCAATTGCTTGTTGATTCGTCGAAATACATAATAATACAAGTCCCACGCCCGGTTCAAGTCGGCTTCTACGTATCCAAATATATAAATATATATATCCCTTCCTTTTCCCAATATATATATCGTTTTTCAAGCCGTATGTACGTACCGTTAGCCCCAAGTTGCGGGTTCAAATAGCGCTGGATCCACTCGTATGCTTCTTTGAGATCTCGTCCAAATGCCTGGTTAAAACTCACTTCGCGCAGTGTCTCAGGGCCCTTGTCCATCATCACATGCAGCGGCTGCAGCACCGCCATCATCCCCTCCACATCATGCTCTCCAAAGTACAGCCGCGAAGCTTCCTCCAGGCCTTCGTGCCACATTTCATGCCATAAAATAGCCACTCGAATCAACTCCCTCGACACTAGCAATGCTTCTTCCACCAGATTCACATAACTCTTTCGCATCACGTGCATGATGGCTTCGGCCGCTTTTTGACGGACCTATTTCATGTATATATATTGATATTGCAAGCAACACTATCGTTGGGATATCAAGGATGTACATATATATATATTTAGGGCCCGTCTAATAGCTTTTCAAAAAGAATAGTCCAGTTTTGGCTACATAAATAGTTAAAGAAGGAATCGAATCACAGGGATACATACACAACTAAACATTGGCATCGACGGATTCAACCAAGTTAATTTGGCTCAGAGGGGAACGAATTTTTATATAGGAACACACATCCGATGGCAAATACGAGCTATACAATTCTTTTTTCAAAATAACTAGTGTTGGCAAATATATATATATATATATATACCTCCAATGGAGACTTGAGGGCGACACTGAGCGGATAAATCAGTGCGTGGGGATGTTGCGACCCAATTGCACACAGCAGTCGATGCAACTGTGATTGAATTCGAGGGTGTGGCGAGTGAATTCTACAAAGCAATAATATCATTTAGCCACGTATATATATATATATGTATATATATATATATTCTTCATGTCAAGTGCGATGTATATATATATATATATATTGTCATTTCGACTGGAAGTGATCAATATGAGCCGAACCACACTGGCCAATCAAACTGTCTCTCAAAAGGTCAAACATCGAATTCAAGTGTCTGTGCCTGAAATTAGTGTGCAGAACGACACTCTTTCGTTACAAAATATGCATGACCAGAACCGATTATATATATATATATATATATATATGGTCCAATCTGTTCGAATTTGGACTTTCGAGTAGACTCGACTGAATTTGAGAACGTGTCTTAGCCAATCCAAGTACACTAACGAAACATTTCAACCAATCATCGTCGAGGTAGCCCAGTTCCAATGTTCCAATGTTTCATGTTTATAAACGTATATATATATATAT